TTGAGAGCGTGGTTCACCCCGTAGATCTTGGCATCGTGTATTTAAGCGCTTGCCTTCCGTAGTCTCATTCGGCCCCGTATAATATCGTGGTTTGGAACGTTTCCGTTACCCCGTACTACAGGTTGGGTGTTGTTTTCTTCAATGGTCCATGCTCTTTCGTGCTCTTCCCGGCTTCGAGGTTCCTGCTCACCCATGGCCCACGCTGCTCAGCGGTTCTGTCCTCTCTCTTGTGGGTTCATGCTCTTTAGTACGGTCTTTTCGTTAAAGCTAACTGTTTTCCGCTCTCAAACGTTTACGTGGGTTGCACTGGCTTCGTGGTAGATACTATTTCGTTACCATTGGCCTTCCATCGCCGGTGCTCTAACCAAAGGGTGCTATTCCGTGCTTTGGTGCCTCCATGCAGTCGTGTGGTTCCGTCGCCCGTGCATCGTGATCTCCTGATGAAGTGTCATCGACCGCGGAATCACGCTATCGTGCAATCACGGTGTGGTAATGCTGTCTATGGTATGGTGCTCGCGTAGTGCATCTGCGTTGCCCGTGTTATCGTGCTCTACATGGGCTTCGTGCTCCACGGTGTGCAATCGTGGTCACCCCAAGCACCCCCGTGATTTTCGTGGCTGGTCTGCCGTCCGTGCAATCGAGTTTTAATGTGCTACTGTCCTCCGTGGCTCGGGGGGCTGAGCTTCTACGCTGGTATCGTGCTCCGTGGCTCAAAGATCTCCCGTCTATAGCTCCTGTGGCTGTGCTCCCCTATGGCTTAGTGGCACAGTCCATGCTATCGTGTTAGCTTGCGATGTTGCGGTTGGTCTGTCGTCCGTGAGATCGTTAGCTACCGTAGTGTCGTGCTGTCGGACTCGGTGAGCTCCGATTCTACCCTAATATCGGGCTCCAATGCTCGGATGATCTTCCGTTTATGGTACATCGCGTTTTCACGTTTGGTCGGTCGACTGTGCTCCGTGTTGTACCGTGGTGCTATGGGAGAATTACTGTCCGTGCACTCTTACCGCTACGTGCTCTACAGTGGCTTCGAAGTTGCGTGCTCTTCCGTAGCCGTGCATTTCAGCATGCTGGGGTGTCTATGTATTTAGTTCCCTTCCGTGGCCCGTACGCTCCCGTCATATTCTCGTTCTTCTGTTCTTTCCATGGCTGCGTGCACTTCCATCTTTCACGCTACGGAAAACACTTCGTGGTTTGCATCGGCTAAATCTTCTATCATCGTCCATGACGTTCCGTGCTTCGTGTTGCTCTTCTATCCCATCGTTTTTCGTGTTCTTGCTGAGTCGCGTGCCTCCGCGCAAACTTGATCACAAACGCTGTTCCGATTCGACACAATATCTTAAGGTCGTGTGCAAATACAGAGGAAGATGATACTTTTCCCGGGGGCAGTGTGGGGTGCAGGGGGGTGTCGGGTGGGAAGTCATAATAGTCATATTTTAAAGTTTTCACATCCTAAAGTATCAATTATTAATAGTAGTAGTAGAGGTGTGATTTATTATAAACGTTAACATAATAATTATGTAGACTACTACTACAAATAACTGCAAGCAAAAATATGAAATGTCTTAAGAATAGTACTACGCAAAACAGTACTGTAAGTTAAATTATTACAAACCTACTACGAAGCAAATCAAATCATATTTAAACCAATAAGTACTAATGTTTTGATTGAGGCCGAAGTATGAGTCACCGAAGCCTACAAATTTTATCAACAGCACCTACGACGATAGAGAACGTGTGTGCTCATCGGCGCCTTTTAATTCAGCTAACTAACGCGTACACAGGCAGCGCCCTTCGCGTGGCCTTGCATACCGCAGCTGAAAATAAAAGCAAAATATAATTTGAGCGGTACATTTTAAATACGATGTGTTGACCACATACAGTGTGTACACCACATATTGCAATTTTAGTGAATCGAGGCCGCCTTCGCTGCGCTCGGCAGCCAGTAGAACGCGCGTATTAGCGTGAGGATTATTAACCCTAGCCCGTTACGGACGGACTGACGGACGGACAGACACCAGACTCCACTAGAGGGGTAAGATGACCACAGAATGAATTGACTTTGGAATTCGTAAGTCCCAGTCACCGACGATTAAATGAATGTCTCTGATTGGTTATTATTCTAAAAATGCCACTGACAGCTCCATTGGCAAAATCACCAAGAAGAACACAGAGGTCAACGGAGCAATTCATGTAAGCGTGATCTACCCGGTGCTGTGTATGTACTTACTGACTATCTAAGCTCCCTTGCATGCTCTACAGATTCAGTCAGCGACTAAGGCGTGGCCAGCAGGCCAGCAATAAGTAATGGTAATCTTACACTACTTGGACATGAACTTCAGATAGATCTATCGTGCCTACGAAATTGGTATCACTAACAGCTCCGTATGCGTTTCCACTGATGCAGCGTGCCGAGCACTCGACGCTTCACTGTCGCAGTCACAGGCAGCCTTAGACCTTTTGCGTGCCTTATAGGGAAGGGTACGTGTGGGGTTATCAGCTTCGCGAATCAGCCTCAACACCGTGGTAAGCTTTATCTGGGTACTACGGCGCTTACGCTTGCTTGGCTTCAATTTTAACGTGTTGAATCCCATGTTAAACAGTTCAATGGAGTGGGCTTGGTCACGGATAGTTGGCATCGGTGCATCTACCTCTGCCTCAATGCCGTTAATAATATGCCTCATGAATATTGACCATTCTGAAAGCGTTGCCTTTTTCTTTGGTGTATCCAGATCAGCAGATGAAATAGTTCGATAGGGTGGATACTCACGCCGGTCATCACCAAACCACCATAGTTGCCATGCACCCAGCGGATCGATGCTCGGAAATTCAAAGGTTTTCGGCAATTTGTGAAACTTCCCGCCCCAGGAATAACAGACGCGCGTTGGTTTTGGTGCTACCTGGGCAGAATCGCCTGGCTATGAACGTTGGAGCCCTACATCTTGTAATAGCGCTCTGATTTCGTCTCGAAGAAGGTCCCGGGTAATATTTCCAGCGGCCACGCCTTTCCGTTCTAGGACTTCTTCCATCCGCTGCTCTAGCATACCGGGAAGCGCGTCGATCGATTTTTGCTGAATTTCCAACTTCATGTACAGATTAATATGCGGTGGTATTCCCGTTGCTTCCATCCATTGTGACTCGCCACTTTCTAGTTGAAATCTCAAGTCGTGGAGAATAGTCTGATTCGTGAAAATAGCCGACGAGAAGAGAGGGTGGTTGATAGGGAGATTATCCAGCAAAAACTCCGAGTGATGTACTGTGATGCAAGACACAACTCCAGAATCCCAACCAAATTCTTCTCGTTAGCGAGCCGTGGGAACATAACAGCTACGCTTGACCTGATAACTGCGTCGGAATTGCTGACAAAATGTGGTGGCAAGACTGCAAATTTGGAGTCATGTACAGGTAGTCCTGCCACCACACGCCCTAAAAACTGGTCACCAGCCGCCTCGTAACGAAAGTATCTATCTTGTACTCCACCAAGGGACCAGCCGCACCTTAAGCACACACTTACAATAGACGGCTAACTTGTACTTCCTCCGCAAGCATATGTGGCTACTCCTTTCCTCACCGAGTGGGTTCCGTAGCATTTAGTAGCACACTGTTTCTCTAGAAAGGCTGCTTAACGCCTTACCGAATCTAACCTTTGGGTCAGATCCTGGAAACAAAGCTCCAGGCTCTAATCGTGGATTACAGGCCAAATAAACTCCTAGTGCTGTCACCCAACACGTCGATGGGCTAATCGGGTTTGCGTAAAGATGACGAGGATCACGCGGCCCGGAACCTTCTTGATTCGTTTTTGTCTTGTAAAATATAGCTCCGATACTGTCATCTTTTGCCACTAAGTGGAGGGTCTGTAGCGTTTGGACAGACACAGATCGGCACATTAAATTCCATTGTGAAGTCAAAAAGAGATGAGAGAATCCACTATCATTGCGCTTGAGTGTAGCCTTACACAGTGACTTGTATAACGAATACGTCAGCGGCTGCTTGCCTGAAATTTTAGGCGAGCTATTCTGGTTCAATTCAGCCTCCATTCTCTTGATGCCTGAGAAAAGCTGCTTCATGTCATCTCAGTATTCAACAGGAACTGGAATGCGCTTCAAGCGGTAAAGGTCCTTTATCGCACTCCGATATCCGCTTAGCGTTGCCGACTGAGCTCGGACTCGCTTGTACGACAAAAACTTTTCAAAAACCGCTGGTGTGAACTGGGCAAGGTCAAGATCACCGCTTGTGTCAAAATACCGATCTGTTCCAGTCAACTTTGGCTAGCTCTTGTCGAATCCATTTCTTTATCCCGTTAATATTACCCGCGTACTTCTTTCTCGTGTCTCGCGAAATACAAGCGTCGCGAATAGCCTTGATATCAGCCTCCAATGATGTAGTATCTGGCAATCTTTCGTCGCTCATGTTGCGTTTTCGATGTCGAGTACGATTAGATTCGGCTCGGTATTTTGACCAATGAAAACTGCACGTACTCGTAGGCATCCGACGCTTACGGATTCACGGACAGACCCGATCCTTCATTCTCTCCATAGAAGACTGCTGGGCATGGAATACAAGGATTCCTGAAAATATAAGCCAATCTGCTTACGTTTTGACCAGAAGTGCCACATAAAGCTTACGTAAGCTAGAGAATGTGGGATTCTAATATCGAAGAATATAGAGGTTGTCAGCTTTTGTAAAAAACCGATAGCACTTCCCAACTTTGAAGTAGTAGTACTACTGTAGTACTACAGTATTGGTATTTCTAATTTAAAGACCGAAGTTTTAAAATATCTACTCGCAAATTGGTTAACATACTTAATCAAACTGTCGTAAAAATAGTAAAATCCGGATTATTAATACATGTAATTTTCTAAAACTCACGGTTCAGCTGGTGCATGCGGTTCGGGCTCTGACCATACATCTGCACAGATTACTGAACCGCGGTCCCAAACCGCAAGGTGATCAAGCGAAAATGCTGTGCGAGCTTTTTCTGTGGCTTTCGAGCGCTTGGCTATCGCAGCTTCCATTCGGCCTTTGAGCAGCCCAGATCAGCAGCATCTTACTCCCGTCTCGCCCGGCAGCCATGGTACGTTTCTCGCTGTGCCTAACGAGGTGAATACAGCGATGTGGCACACACTTAAGCATGACAAAGGGGATAACAGGAGGTGACCGACGGAATCTGTTCACCAGCTGCGACCTCCTGGTGGAAACCAGCGCGATCTTTTGCGCATATGGACGTACGCAATGCGAACAGGATTCTCCTTCCTCCCCCTGTCCCCTTTGTCATCTTTAAGACGTTGCTTTCGTGTATCCTGTAGCGTTGCACAGGTAATTAACTGTTGATTGGCATTGCGCACACACAGTCCAGCAAGAACTTTTTCGCCGCCCTCGACTCGGATGACGAGGACACGCCTCGTGTGAACAAGAAGGTCACGCCGCCGCCGTCGGCCCCTGTGGCTCTGAACAAGCCCGCCGCTGGTAACAAGAAGTCTGGCAACAAGAAGGCCCCCGCCGGCGACAAGAAGGAGTCGCGCGGGCCACGTGAGGGCGGCCGTGCCCCGCGTGAGCGTGGCGAGCGTGGCGACCGTGGCCGTGGTAACCGTGGCCCTCGTCGCGAGTTTGAGCGTCGCAGCGGCACGGGCCGTGGCAAGGAGGCCAGCAAGCAGGGTGGTGGTGCCCGCAACTGGGGCAACAAGGCCGACCCTAACGAGCAGCTGGCTGAAGCCGCCGTTCAGGAGGGCGCCAAGCCCGCCTCGGACGAGGATGCCACTGAGGATGCCGCCGAGGAGGAGGAAGAAGAGGAGGTTCAGCTCACCCTCGACGAATACCTTGCCAAGCAAAAGTCGTCTCGCTCGGGAGAGCTCTTCGCGGACGTGGAGGTGCGCCAGGTGACCAACGAGTTCGCCACCGCTGCTCAGATCACCAAGGAGGGTAAGACCCCTGACTTTATGGACTCGCAGTACGAGAAGGTGTACAGCAAGAAGACGTCGGGCCGCAAGAAACAGGTTATCACCGACGTGGGCTTCCGCACCGAGAAGCCGGAGCGCTTCTCGCGTGACTTGGAATCGTCGCGCGGTGGACGTGGCAACCGTGGTGGCCGTGGTGCTCGTGGCAACGACCGCACTGGTGGCCGTGGCGCCCGTGGCGCTAACGTCCCGAACGTGACGGACATGAGTGCTTTCCCCAGCCTCGGCTAAGGGATTGCGCTGCGACCAACCGGAATCGCGCGCCCTTGAGCGCCAGCGACATGATGAGTGAGATCTTCCAAAAGAGGGCTTCTCGAGGACTGGTTTGGCTATCTCTTTTTCTCCTTTTTCCTCCCACGAAAGATCCACCGGATAGGGCCTCTGCGCGGCTGGTGTCTGCCTGACTGTGTGTATCTCCCTCCTGCAAGCAGCCAGCCGTCGTGCGGAAAGTTAGAGAAATTTTTGTTAGCGTGAACTCGGTCTTCTCTTTGGTATTTCTATTATTCAATGCAGCAGGCTGGGCTTTATGCGAACGAAAATATCGATGTTGTCATCCACGCGAGTTGCGTTGTTTCCCAGTATCTGATCAAGTGGAACTTAACAAGTATCAACACACAACATGTTACGGTGTCCTGCACTACGACACTCCTGTCGTGCATTACTCAAACTTTTCGTAGAGTGCAGTAGCAGCCCTAGGACGGCGCGGTGAGCCGCCCGATAAAGAGATGCTTACCACTGGTAATTAGTTTTCCTCGTTTGAACACTCCAACCTCAAATGGAGGCCTTTCTTCAGGGATCCCATCGTCACCGTCGTTATCTTCCCCGCCTTCTTCATCATGTTCCCGACAGAATATACCCCGGCCGGATGGGAAACCATGAATCCACGTACCGATATAATTCCTACCGTCGGGTGAAAGCCACGATCCATAGCCTTCAACTTCGCCCTTATGCCATTCGCCTTCGTATATTTCTCCAGAGGCGAAGGTGAGAGTACCGACACCGTGTCGCTCACCAGCTTTATACTCGCCAGTGTAAACACCGCCCCATTGGAATCGATGTACGCCCTGACCGATCAGCTCGCCCTTTTCCCACGTACCGTGCAGTGAGCCTCCTGCCGTCGTAAACACACCTTTGCCATGCATCATACCTTGACGCCACGTGCCTTCGTGCGAGTCTCCACACACCCACGTGTACTTGCCAAACCCTTCGCGTTCACCCTTGACAAAATAACCCTCGTATTTGTCGCCAGTGGCGAACACCTTGGTACCCCATCCGCTCACCTGATTATGCCTCCATCCACCGTCAATTATGTCCCCGGTAGAGAAGATCTTCTTGCCTTTGCCGTGCATCACTCCCTTTTTCCATTCACCTGGACTCACAGCAAAGTGGGCATATTTCAGCTTCTGGGAAGGACAGATGCATCGACAAATGCCTTCTCACCGTCATAGCTGTCACCATTCTTCCAAACGAACGTGCCGTTACCATGCATCTGTTACGTAATAAAAATATTCACTCTCAAGGTAACGTGATCCTCGCATTCTATTATGCCCAGTACCTTGCCAACTCGCCAATTGCCAATATATTTGTCACCGTTGGCCCACAAATATGTCCCCGTTCCATGGCGGTGGTTCTTTCGGTACATGCCTTCGTGACAGTCGCCGGTGCCGGCAAAAGTCTGCATACCAAATCTGTCGTCCACCAACACCCACAGCCAGCAATACCATTAATAACCCCTTTGTAACAATGGTATTTTCAATCGAAATTGAGCTTCATGCTCCCACCCTTCAAAATCTCCGTGAGCCCATCCGCCCTCGAAAATGTGACCAGATCGCAGTATGTGCACACCTGTGCCATGCCGCTTTTCATCTTCATCCACGCCACCTTCGTATCGACTACCGTCCGCGTATTGGATCACGACGGCTCCTCGTGGCTTCTTCCAACGGATCGACAATATTTCCGGTTGGTTGCGATCTTCCGGACCAGGCGAGCCATCTGACTCCAACTGCGGCGTTGACTCTGACTTTTGCTTCTTCAGATGCTCGGCGGCTGTCGGATCGGGTCGGTGTGTGGCGCGTACACCCCGACGCCGCCCGCGGTTGCCCATGTTTCAGTGGCGATCAAAGCAGAAGTGGTAATTGAGCTCCATCAGCAAAGCAACGATTGGTGATTGGCCAAAACCGAGACCAGCACTCATAGCTTTAATACCCGTAAAAAACGTTGCTATCGGTTTGCTACTGGACGTTTGCCATGGCGATTGTTCGCATCAATTCAAGAACGACACTACCGGTAGGTTATCAGGGTTCGCCAAAACCCAGCTTTTCGGATTTGAGTGGGTGGGTAATGATTTTTTTGTGGGTGGGTGGGATAAAAAAACTGGGTATTATCTGTTGGATGACGTCATTTATACAATTATAAAAAAACTGTGTTACCTCAGAGAAATATGGAGCGGTTACAGATGCTTTAGGGCGGTTAAAGAAAATATAGATGCATATAACCGAGTTTTGGGGCGGGCCAAGGGAGAAATGTGCTCTAATGACAACTGGTGGCGGTTGGGGTAGCTCGTTTCAGCTGGTTAGCCGAAAGCGGGTATTGTAGCAAATGACCCGCTTAAGGTGCCGGCGCACTGAAGATGCATGGGCGAAGACGCGGCCGCATCGAGTGCAGGTAAAGCCAGTCATGGTACTTGCGTATTGCGTCAGCTCTATCGTTCTTTCTTTATTTTTATAAACCCAGAAAACCCAGCCTAAAAAAAGAGTGGGTGGGTGGGTCGTTCAATATACCCAAAACCCAAAAATTCCAAAACCCATTTTGCGAACGCTGTAGGTTATGCTCGCCGAGATCCGTAGTTTCCTGGCGCTAGTATGGTGGCACATTTGCCACTTTTTAGCCTACAACCTGCATGTCCGCGGTCTTAAGCCAGCAAGCCAGTTCTTCCACAAGGTGGTGATCATTGGAGATGACTTCGCAGCAGGCATCGGAGATTACATCACCTTGGGCAGCGCAGGCGGCGGCATCGCTGAATATCTCAAGAAGATCGTTGCGTACGATGATAAGGCAAGTGGGGCATTAGACATGGCGTCGCATGACGAGCATTGCGCCTGTACATGTAAGTTTCAACTTCGACTGAACAAGATACCTTTTGTCTTTACCGCAGGTTCGCCATAACTGGGCCGTCGTCAACGCGGGAGTGCCTAGATCCACAACGGCCGACTGGCTCATGTCCTCACCCAAGAAGGTGCGTTTTGTTGCCTTTGATTCATTGCTGTCAAAGATGGCCTTCAGATTTGCATATGGGAGTTGACAAAACTGTGCTGCATGAGTTAGTACTTCAAGAACGTGTTTACCTCGAGAGCCACGAGCGACGCGTCTATCGTGATCATCATCCTTGGATCCGTGGAGATCAGGTAGTTAGCAGGACGGGAGTTTGACGAAGTGTTCTTTGCTTGCAAGCCATCTAACCTCAATGCTGTTAGAAACTCGGGTACTGCTGAGCATGAGATGAAGCGCAACCTCATGAAAATTTGTGATACCCTACGGAAGAAGGGCAAGCAAGTCTGTCTGGCCACAGTCGCGAGTCCAGATCCAACTGCCTCTGAAGCAGACAGCGAGAGCATGACACTCAACACAGCCCTCGAGCAGTTTTGCAAGAGGTAAGTAGAGTTTGAGTGCTGTACGGGGCTGCTCAACTAACTCAAGGCAACGTGTATGTTGTTGCTGAACAGTACGTCGACGGAAGAGGCACCTGTTATTCTGGGACCACGCCTCGACACGTACGCGTTCCGCCGTGAGAGCGCACTCTCGTACGACAAGTACCACTTCAACTCGCACGTAAGTCTCGCGATCACCGCAGCTTTGTAGTCCTTCCAAGCTGTCCGCTACAAAAGTGAGATCTGGCTCACCACTCGATATGTGTATCGTGGATTGCCTCTCTGCGTTTTGTAGTCGTACGGACAGCTAGCTCGCAACACGGCGGATTTCTTGATCCCCATGATGACGGCCGTGGAATGGACCACCTGGAAAGAGCAGCTCGGTCACGTCACGTACGACAAGGCCTTATACGACTAGGAGTTCCGTCAAGCTTGCCATTTTTCTGTGATTCTCTGTACGTCAAACCAAACTGCCAGCCTTCTGCGAAGTCGCTGGCTGGCTGCTCGGTTGCGCTTCCGTCCACCATCCAGATAAGACAAACATAAACACCTCAGGAAACACGCGAGCATTCTTTTTCTTTCGATTTGGGTAATGAGTCGCCGCCTTCGCTTTCTCTCTCTCTCGCGAAGTTCATGTGAGCTGCTCATCGCATCACATGCGGCCTTCACAAATGTTCACTTGCTCTTCGCTTCCATGCAATCGATCTACATGTCCACGTTCTTTTCTGCCGTCAATGACTACAAATCGACGCCTGCTCAAGACTCCATAGAGGCGTCGGGGGCTGGCTCCGCCTCCGATTTGGTAGCGGCGTTGTCCTGCGACGGCTTGGCGGCCCAGTACTCCTCCATCTGACGGTCCAGTCGGGCAGCCTTGGGGTCGGGGCCCTTGCCAGCTTCGTACCAGTACTCTTCCATCTCCATGTCGAGATCTTCACCCGTGGGCGCCTTGGACTTGGCATCTCCGCGTCCACCACGGCCTCCACGACCGCCACGTCCGCCTCGGCCACCACGGCCCGCGCCCCTCCCTCCGTTTTGCGGGTTCTTGCTCTTGTTCTGATTAGCCTTGGGCTTAGTTTCCTGTGTCGCAAGCCCCTTCCTGTGCTTGCTGACAACCTGTTGGCGCTTGTTTCGGTTGTTCTGTGCGACCTGCTGCAGCTTCTGCTTCTGTTGGTGCTGCTGGATCTGCTTCTTCGTGGGAGGCGGTGCCTTTCCCTTCTTCTTACCACCAGCCACACGCAGTACAGGCTGAGCCTTGCCCTTCTTTTGCGGCACCTTGACAACCGCCACCTTTTGCTGCTTTTGCGCTTGACGGGGCGTCGTCTCCTCCGCCAGGTTCGTGAAGCGACTGGACAGCGGGACTGACGACACGCCAATCACGGCACGCGTCGCTTTCTTTCCCTGCGCCTGTGACTGCTGCTGGTTGGTCTTGCGCTGACCGCGCACGGACGCGCGAGGGGCCCCAGATCGTCGATACATTTTGTAGCTTTGAGGCTTGACTTGGTAAGTTTCAAATGGGCCAGGGGAGTTTCATTAAGTTGCGCCCAGATTTAAGTTGCACAAACGCTTTGCAATCGAGATTTAAAACTCGAGATAGCGACAACTATGGAGACGGCGCTGGTGGGCCAGGTGCAGCGCTACCTGGACCTTTACGTGTACGACAACGCGCGTTTTCTAGCAGAGCGGCTCGTTGCACATGTACGTGTTGCTTGCGGTGCATTTTCGCGTAGTGGAAGCTGCGTCATAGTTGGTTGAAAGAACTTATCCATGCTGTTTTGACACCTTTTCGTCGTGTTTGACAGCATCCGAGCGAGGAGAACGCGCTGCTACTAGCCTCGTGCTATTATCGCAAAGGCCAAGTGGATCGAGCTGTGGAAGTGCTGAGTGGCGCGACGCGAGCTGAAAACCGCTATCTATTAGCACGCTGTTGCTTTCAGCAGAATAAGCTGGTCGAGGCTGAGAACGCGTTGCTAGGAGGCGAGAAGTGCCACATCGATGAACTTGACGCAATTGAGAACGTGCCAGCGGGCGCTGCTGGCCTGTATTTGCTGGGCCGAGTCTGCAGACGTGGGAACAGGAGGCAACAGGCTGTGGCGTGCTTCATAAAGAGGTGCTGTCAAGTGGAGCTGCTGTGCTTGATGTGGCAAAGGTCGCATGTATTAATGTTGCGTGCAATGTGATTGATTCTGCTAGTTTGGAGATAGATCCGTTCATGTGGTCGGCTTACGAGGAACTGTGCGAGCTTGGAGCTAATCTTGAGGCTTCCAGGTTTTTCGGCACGGCGAATTACTTCCACAGCTCCGAATCTGTGGAGATAGACGACAGTTTTGGGTCAAGGGCGGAATATAGTGGTCGGGCTGTGAAAAGTGGACAGCAATTTGGCGACGAAGACGATAACAATGCTGAGGATCGTCCTACAGACGAATCATTCGGGACCCCAGAGCCACCACCGTTTTTTGGCCTCGGCACGCCGAAAAATGTGCTATCCTCGGAACCTAACACATCTAGGCCGTTGGCTTATAAGACGCCGAATGTAAACAACAACAACAACGGGAACGACATCCACACTGCGACGGTTGTCAAGAAGCCACGAGTAGAAGACGTCGGAGCTCCTCTACGCCAGAGGAAAGCGTACCGACGACCTCTAGCGGACAGTGACGAAAAGTACCGACCTAATGCAAGACTGTCGTTCTCTGCTGCCGCATTCGACGATTCTCCACTGGTACGAAAGCTGCAACGCACTTATCGCATGCTGCTTCTAACTTTCGGCTCGTTTAGAATCCATCAAAACTATCGCTTGGCTCTCCAACATCTCCATTGCCCACTCGACGCCTTTACCAGGACAAGACACTGGTACCTGGTTCTTATAAAGAAGGATCTTCACGCCAAGTTGATGGCCGACACGAGCTACTGCGGTTGCTCACCTCGTTTGGTTCTATTTATCAGAAAGTCAGCATGTACATGTGTGGCGAAGCTCTGGAGATGCTGGAGCAGCTTCCCGCCTCCCAGCGTGCATCCGGTTGGGCACAGCAGCAGATCGGAAGAGCATATTTCGAAATGGCCGACTACGTACAAGCACAAGAAGTTTTCTGTGCCTTACACAGAGCGGAGCCGCATCGAATGGATGGTCTTGACTTGTACTCGACAACATTGTGGCATCTCAAGAAGGAGGTGGAGCTTTCGTATCTCGCTCAACAAGCGACGGACTTTGATAAATTATCGTGTGAAGCTTGGTGTGTGGCTGGAAACTGTTTCAGCTTGCAAAAGGAGCACGATACAGCGTTAGCCTTCTTTCAGCGGGTAAGTTGAGACCGAAAGCCTTTGTATTTGAATCTGACTGACACAATCTATGCTCCACGCTAGGCAATTCAACTGGACCCGTCGTTCACATACGCGTACACACTGTCCGGTCACGAGTATGTTGCCAATGAGGATTTTGAGAAGGCTGTCAACTGCTATCGACATGCCATTCGTACTGATTCGCGGCATTATAATGCCTGGTATGGTCTGGGCACGATCTACTACCGACAAGAGAAATTTGAGTTCGCTGAGTACCATTTCAAGCGCGCTTTGGAGATCAATCCGCGCAGTTCGCTGCTTCACTGCTTCCTTGGGATGGTTCTCCATGCAACCCACCGCTATGACGACGCGCTAGCCACACTTGCGGTCGCCGCGGAGTTACAGCCGCTGAATCCTCAAGCTCGATTCCAGCGTGCCAATGTACTGATCACACTGCAACAGTACGAAGAGGCTCTGGAGGAGCTTCATGTTGTCAAGAATTTTGCGCCGCGTGAGTCGTCCGTGCATTTCATGATGGGCAAAGTGGCCAAGAAACTTGGGCGGATCGAGGAAGCCATGAAGTATTTCATCTTGGCGCTGCACTTCCACCCTAAGGACAACAACCAGATCAAGGTAGCCATCGACAAAATCAACGAGCCTGACCATGAGGACGATGACAGAATGTAGTAGCTCATAGCCAAAACAGACGTCGCTCCACGCCTGCATATAGATAACCACAATACGAACGAGTAGGCCACTGTGGCGCTCCTAGCCGCCACATAAACATGGTTAAGAAATATCCATCACGTCGCTAATTGGCCAGTTTTGTATGGCATTTTCAGAAGATGACGCCGACTGTGAAGGCGGAAGCGCGACTGCTGCTGCATCAACTCACGCAGTTTCAAGACGCCAGCGAGGCTCTCACTCGTCTATTCGAGGGGTTCGCACAGCAGGAAGCCAGACGTTGCGCTGTGCTACTGCAGCTTTTGCATTGGCAGAATACGCCCGCTTCCAGAAGTCTCGCAGACGTGCTGGAAGACTTGGAATCTAGTGATGACGAGCTCCAATCGGTGCGTCGTGATATGGGGCTGACGGTGCTGGGTAAACCTGCACTGATGTTTGCCACATCCATCTATGACGAGGAGCTTGCAATGTTGATCTGGGCGGGGTTTATCCAATTCCACGCTCGATATCCGGACTTCGATCTCACTCGACAGGTGTTCGATAATTCGGCGGACTCGCTTGGGTACTCATCTCTGCACTATGCGGTGGAGGCTCAAATGGGGGACTTTGTACGTGCAGTATGTAATGAGCTGGAACAGGATCAGACGGCACCGGTGGCCGGCCAAGTGGTGACACAAGATGTGACTCTGCCCGTGAATACAGCCCAGAATATGGGCAAGAACATTGCAAGTGGGGGCTGCTCACTGCTTCATCTCGCAGCCAAGAAGGGTGACCTGGAGATGGTCAAAATGTTCGTCTCCGCCCCGATGTGTATGGACCCGAAGACATTGCGTGACTGGGATGACAACTCGCCAGCTCGAGTGGCAGCTATCCACGGCCATGAAGCAGTGGCTACATTCTTGGAGGTATGATAACACTTGTTATTGCGGATAACTGCAACGGTCTAATAGGTTCGTATTGTTTCTAAGAGAGTCACGGGTGAAGTGTCATTAAACGCATCCGAAGTTGATGAAATGCGATCCAGCCGCGAGAAGATGGCTAGAGAGCGCTACCTGGCGCACATGAAGCCTCATGAGTCCATGTTAGAGCCGTCAGTGTTTCCAGATATCTGGACCATCGAGGAAACTACGCTCATTTGTAGCGAAGTGAACCGAACAGCTGCTGAACGGGGCTGGTGCAAGGAACGACATGCGTCTTATCAAACGACAGACATGCCATGCCACCAAGTTGCAGCGTTGAATTCCTGGGTACGCTCGACGTTGGAGGACAGACTGTTCCCTCAAATTGCGAAGCGATATGAATTGCCGACGACAAAGCGTTTACTATTCCACGACCTCTTTTTCGTCAAGTATGAGGCGCGGAAAGGTGAGCGCTCTGAGCTTGCACTACATCGTGATGGCTCTGTCTTGTCCTTCAATATTTTGTTAAACTCGGCCGATGACTTTACCGGAGGCGGCACGTATTTCGATTCCACGAAACGCACGGTGCACATTACTCAAGGTGATGCTGCCGTACACAGCGGAAAAGTGCTCCACGGTGGTGCACCTGTGCTGACTGGTATACGCCAAATCCTTGTGGGTTTCCTCGACGTGGCTGATTGTGTGTATTGAATCATCATATCCGCTCCATCACAAGCGGTGAAATTGAATGCCTTCGATTGGGGTATCCCCTTCAAGCACGTAGAGCCGTGGACACCAGTGCTTCTCGTCATATAAGTCATCGTCCAGAGACGTTTGGATAGATAGAGTTGCTTTTGCCTGGCCGCATCACAGCATCAACAGTGTGAGAAAACAATAGAGCAGGACCACAAATAAAGAAATCAACTGTAATTGCTCGCTGCCGTACCCGCTCCAACTCAAAGAAGAGGAGTCGGTCTTCCCAGATTTTGTCATAAGTATTTCCCATCATCTGCAGTATAAAGACAGCAACCATTAGCTTTGATCTTCCAGGTATGTGGCTTACAATGCGACGTACCGCGACCAGGAGATTCAGTAGCATGATGGTACCGATGACCACAAACGCAATGAAGAGGAGGATGGCAAGGAGGCCTCCTTCATGAATGCTATCCCAATCCCACGAGCCTAGACTAATGTTGAACGTAGTGGTGACAGCCGAGAAATAGCTTTTGCATCCTTCCAACTGCAGATTCATGTCAGCATTTTCGTATTTATTATCAACAAAATTCTTGCTTATTTTACCTGAAGAATGAAGAAGGCGAACGCGAATCCGCCCAAGAAGACGCAAAACACCATGATGAAGACAAGAATGTCAGAGAACATCTGCATCATTAAGCAAAAAGGGTCAGGATCAGCACTTGGTGACCGGATAGCTTAGTTGTCATACCTTTGCAATCATACGAACGAAAGGCCCAAGTGCCCTTGTGCCTCGAGCGAATTGAATCCACTTTATGAAAATTTGCGGCCCCACAATGCTCATCAGCGTGATGCGGAAGTTATATTTCCTTCGAACGCTGAAACTGTATAGCGATTCTTGATACACGATGAGACTGAAGTCGTCCTGATCGAAGCCTGTCAGGAAAGCAGTGAGATGAGTTGTAGTCTCTGCAAAACAAGAAAATTGTTGCAGTCGTCTACCTGGAAATACCAGCTCAATCATTTCTGCGACTAGCAAAAGCCACACACAGGTAATCTGCACCAAGTCGAACCAATTCCATCCGTCCCAAAGGTACACGCGAAGGCTTCCGCACTCTCGGTACGCTTGGTACTGTAGAGCAACAGAATCAGCACGACTGTACACGGAGCTTAAATAAAAATGTACCTCTTGAATTGTAAAGCTGGCGTTGATGACTGAATAAACAAGTCGAGCCGCGTCACGAATGTATTCCACGTAGCCCACTGGCTCCGTGAAGATGCTATTGCGGTAGCCTCCGATCGGCATCCCAATGTATGTGTCACCTACGTGTAAATACCTGGAAACCACGTTCAAGTTTTGTGTAAGATAGCTGATTCACCACTGCTGTACAGCGAAACATACGTGGCAACAAATACCGCAACGAAATACACGAAGTACACTTTGAACTGTGATCGAAATGTTTGTCGTGTGAATGAGTTCCACCTTATGTAAAGGGGGGGGGCAGTTAACAGCCATTTAAAACCAAATTCACAAAGTATGATACTTAAGTACGTACTTGTAGTCCAAAAGTTGTCGGAACCAGGGATGAAAGATAAGCTCCTTACACTCTGTCTGTTAAATCGGTCACGTTCATAAGATCAGGTTGACAAAGTGCAAGGTTAGCATTGACGTACCTGGACGATCAGCCACAAGGTTGGGCTCTGGTGCCCGCGGAAATCTGCGTGGTCGTACACATATTCGTACAAGATTCCTTTTGGCTCGCACACAATCCCATCTTTGTGTCCAGCTTCATGCTCCGTCACCGTGAACACGTGCTGAATGCTCAATATACTCCTCACGTGACGCATGAGTTTCCAAACTTTCTTAAGGCCTTTCTTCAAGCGCGACAGAATTTTTGCGAGCGATCCTTGTTTTCGTTTTCGTCGAGGCGAGCGACCACCTTTTTTCTGTCCTTTCATCTGTACAATCAGAGCTTCTCGCTTCTCCTGCGTCGTTTTAAGCTCATTGCTCACTGTCCAGCGTTGGTTTCGTTCGCGCACGTGCTTCAGCATGCTGCATCTGAATAAAGGAATCCGAAATGAGTCCATCGCCAACACGGCAGCCTCAGGAACATTCTCGATCAAGAGGTGGAATAGTTTGCTTCTCTCGTGTATCTCTCGAGCTTTGTTTACTTCGTAAGCGGTCACATGCTCCGAGATCACGAGAATACCTAACGTTTTCGGCGGTAGAATCGAGTATCCTGGCGCTGACCGGAAGAAGACGATATCGCGACGAGTTTTGGTGCACAGGAAGGGAGATGCCAGTAAATTATCAACAGTTGAACATGTGCTGTCGTTTACAGCGCCAACGGCATCATGCCGAGCTTTCGTCCTTGTTTCAGGGGACACAGCACAGCTTCCTCCAGTCAATGCTTGGTATTGCGGTAGGTGAGTCTTGCCGGGTGGTCGCTTGTGCTGTACCATCGCTCCTGTGCGAAAGTTTAGTGATGGTAATAGCTTAGCCATCGTCTTTCCGTTAGGAGATTCCACAAACGTCCCTCGCAAGACTGTGCCATCCAGCGTCGTGAGTGTTACATATCGAGAGATGCGCACATCTGCGTGATTCTCCACAAAATGAAGACAAACTCCGTGACGTTGACTAGCTATTGCGAAGTGGAGTCTATAGACAGAGACACGAAGTCAGCGAGTTTGCCATATGTATATCTTCAGAGGTGGTAGCGTACGGTGTTTCTCCAGACTTGTTCTGCGCATTGATATTGGCCCCATTTGTCAGCAGCAACTTACACAATGTAAGGTGTCCTCCTTCAGCAGCATAATGCAATGGAGTATTACCGGCTGCGTCTTTCGAGAGAACAAGCGGATGGCCGCAAATTTTCAGAAGATCTTGTAGAGTTATCGCGTCGTTGTGAAGTCTGTCGAGGGAATCCGAGAACCGAGCAAACGATACTCCAACGTTGGCAATAAGTGCGCGCATCTCAGCTCCCGACTCGCTCACTAGTCTCTTGGCCTTGCGCATTTCCAGAACCAGCTCCAGCAAATGACTTAGCTGCATGAAGCTGAATTTCTGGTACGGAGAGCTCATCGGATGCTCATTCCAATGTATAATGAGCTCGTGAACCAGGTCTGTGTATCCCCGTTGAGCGGCGGCATGCATAACGGTGTATCTACATTCACACACATCAGTTTAGACACTAAAGCAGGTATCTGAAAGCTCGTACTGGGCTAGGCCGTGTGGTTGCAGGAGATCAAGCCCGTCGTTGGCTTCGCTTCTTAGAATTCGGAGGATTTTAGGTAGATTGGGTTCTGCAAGCCGAAGAACACCACTCTTTGTAGTCATGGGGCCAGGTACCAGTGGTCGGCACTGGCAGCATTCATCATACAATAGTTTACTTTGCAGAGCAAGGTGCTGTTCATCTCGTCTCTCGAGCAGTAAGTGCATTCTGTAATATCTGCGCATTGCGCGGTTAATCTTGTCTGCTGCCCATCCCTCAGGTCGTTCATCGCGGCCGAGTCGAAACTGTCCTGCTAAGAACTTTTTGAAATAGTTTCCGCCGTGCTGTCTGCGGGTCGGACTCTCCTCTTTCTTCTTGGCCTGCTGTGGATGATGGTGAGGACGACCCCGAATAGGTTCTTGTTTCAGATGCAGACGCGGAGGCCGCTTCCGTACATCCTCTAAGATTATTTGTTTGTGTTTCCCCTTCTTATTAGCTCTCGTCTCCTGCTCAACACGCAGCGTCAAGGTCAGACCCGAGCACAACATGGCCTGTGCATTTAAAAGCAACCTTGATATGAGCTCGATATGCCTCTAGGACCTCCCGGCGTGTGGTTGCAGGGTCCTGATCCAGTACAGGCGTGGCATAGCGCTTTGCATGATCGGACATAACGTTTCAGCAATACTTGAAGTGGGCATGGCTACATCGCACTTAGTCTAAAGGGCTAGCCGCTCACTAGAGCTTAGAAATATGAGGTGAGCCGTTTCTATAGAATCGTAATGGCTACAGTGCAAGACCGGAATGGTCAACGACCTCCAGCGTCCGCGGATGTTATGGACGGCGAGTTCTTCTCGTTCCCGTATGATCCTTACTCGATTCAGCTGGAATTAATGCGGCAGATATGGGCGACGCTAGAGCAAGGCCACTGCGGCATCTTCGAGAGTCCCACAGGCACGGGCAAGTCCATCAGCTTGATCTGTGGGGCGCTCACTTGGCTCACCAAGCACACGGACGAGTACGGTCTTCAGCAAAATGATGCGAATGCTAGCACAGCTGCTACGACTACTGAGAAACTGGAGAAGGATGCTGAACCGAGTTGGCTGAGCGACTTTGAGCAGAAGTCGGCGGATCGAGAGCTCAAGTATCGTCAGCAGATGGCAAAAGACGCGTTGACTGGCATCGAGAGGCTCCGACTGGAGCCCGAGGCGACCACGAAGAAGCGCAAGATGAAGATCGCTTATAACCACAACGAACGGAAGCGGGTGCGCCAAAGTGGAGGCAGTAAAGCGAACAAACCTGACGGAGACGACGACGAACACTTGGTGGATCCGTATGACAGCGATCGATTGGGGCGACGTAACAGTGACAGCGATGAAGAGAGCGGGATATCATTAAGTGGACAGGTCGGTGAGGTAAGACCCGACATTGGTGTGGTGAAGATCATTTACTGCAGTCGCACACACTCGCAGATCTCGCAGTTCGTTAGGGAGATACGTAAAACTGCATTTGCCGACCACATCCGCGTCGTATCGTTGGGTTCTCGCAAAAATCTGTGCACAAACCCAAAGGTTACGAAGCTGAGCTCAGATTTGCGAATGACCGACAAGTGCTTGGACATGATGCAAAGTGGCAAGACCAAGAACGGCAAGAAAGTGGCCAAGTGCCCGTTCTACGAGAAGGAGTTGCTCGGTCACTACAAAGATTACGCACTGGTACGTGGCTTTGTGTTGTCTAAAACGATGTCGGCCCTGTGTAATGAAGCTATGCGCATCTGATCTAGGCTCATGTGCAAGATATCGAGGACCTGCACACTTTAGGCGACGAAATGTCGATTTGTTCGTACTATGGAACTCGTGAAAGCATCCCACTCGCTCAAATCGTCACGGTGCCGTATTCGATGTTGCTCAGCAAAGATACTCGAGAAACGCTGGGCATTGCGCTGGAGGATAATATCGTCATTTTCGATGAAGCACACAACATTATCGATGCCATCAACAACACGTACAAGGTTGAGATCACCAGCAAGCAGCTGGTGGTGGCACGAAGAACTCTGTGGTCCTATTTTTCGAAGTACGAGAAACGATTCAAGGGCAAGAACGCCTTCTACATCAAGCAGCTTTTATCGATCTTGGAGTCTTTGACGAAATTTCTTCGTCAGCTAAGCAAGTCTGTTGGGAAGGCCACTTCAACGGGAGAGAATGAAGATGGCGCCTTAGGAGCCCAAATGATGACAATCAACGACTTCTTGTTCAGTGCGAGGATAGATCACTTCAACATGTTCAAGATTTTGGAGTATCTTGGCGAGAGTGGTTTGGTCAAGAAACTGATGGGCTTTGTAGACTCTACAAGTACTGGTTCTCCCGCTGCAGCTCCACCGGCCGCAGCTACCGATGACTCCGATGAAGGCTTTGAAAGTCGTCACATTTCTCCATTGCGAACAGTTGAGGCTTTGTTAAAAGCTTTGACCAGCGCCGGTGGAGATGGCCGAATCCTCGCACAGCCTCATCACGTACGTCACGGAAGAAAATCGAGTTGGCATTTCTGATTGCTAATTGCTTGCTTCTGTTTGTAGGCAAGCAAAGGCGTTGAAGGTTTGATCAGGTTTATCCTGCTCAACCCTGCGATTCACTTTCAGGAAATAGTGAACAAGTCGCGGAGCGTCATTCTCGCTGGAGGAACAATGCAGCCGGTAAATAAAACGACGGCTACTAGCTCGGTCCTGGATTGTGCTAACTGTTGCTGAACTGTGTAACCAGGTATCTCAAGTGATTGATCAGCTTTTCTCTTCGATACCAAGAGAACACATCGATTTGTTTTCGTGTGGACACGTCATTCCTCCCAAAAATCTGCTCGGCTTCAGCCTTGCGTCGGGTCCATCCCAGAAGCACCTCGAGTTTACATATTCCCAACGAGGTGACATGGAAGCGTTAGACGAGCTGGGGCGCATCCTATTGAACCTTTTACGCATCGTGCCAGGTGGAATTGTCGTATTTTTCCCTTCATATCGTTTCGAGGAGAGTGCAGTTCGCCGATGGCAAGCTACCAAGCAGTACGAGCAAATTCAAGCCAAGAAAGCCATCTTCAGTGAGCCTAAGAAATCTGATGAACTAGCAGAGGTGCTGATGCAGTATTCGGCAGCGTGCTCTCGCAGCGGCAACGGGGCTGTGCTGCTGAGTGTGGTCGGCGGTAAAATGTCGGAAGGAATCAACTTTAGTGACGAATTGGCACGGTGCGTTGTGATGGTGGGCATGCCGTATCCAAACGCTCGGGATGCAGAGCTTGTCGAGAAGATGGCCTTCCTAGACAAGATAACCCCCGGGTCTGGAAGGCAGTTCTACGAGAGTCTCTGCATGAAGGCCGTTAATCAGTCCATTGGTACGTTCGGTGGGTGAAAACAGTTTGCAGCATTAGCTCCTGTTAATGCATTGAACTTTTTAATCATGCAGGAAGGTCTATTCGCCATCAGAAGGATTATTCCACCATCTTGCTGGTCGATTGTCGATACTCAAGCCCAGCAGTTCGCAGCCGCCTACCAGAGTGGATTCAAACGCGTGTCCAACCTCCGACGTCATTTGGACAGGTATACTCCCAGCTCGTTCAGTTTTTTCGCGCGAAGGAAAACCAGGCTGCTAGCAACCAGTAGTCGATATTTCACATACATGTAGACCACAGCCTTTACAGTCTTCGGAGAAAGCTACTGTGCTAGCTGCTGCTTGTATTCAGCGTGAACGACCTGCTTCGCAATACCAAGTACGCGTCCAGCGAGCACTTCGTCGTCATATGACCATTCCATGTGAACTTCCCACTCAGTAGACACTGACACTCCAACTGTCCGAACCTTTAGCCAGCGATCAATCTTCTCAATGGGAAGATCGAGAATCCACTGGGTAAGGCTGCTCTCCAATGCTTCCAGAAGTTGGTCAGCGTCCGCTTGAGGCTGTTGTTCACTTTCATCCTCTTCATCAGCTGACTCCACTGCAGCAGATAAGAGGAACGACAATGCAGACGCTGGGCGCAAACTTTTCTTCTTGACACGAGGCGATGGCTCGAACGGCTTCTTCCACGAGTATGAAAAGAAGAGCGAGTGTTTCTTCTTTTTCAAACGCCGTGCTCCATTGCCACTTGACACCAGCATCAGCTTGCGTTTGGGCTCGGCAATCAGCATACCTTGCACATCTGAAGGGTTATTGAACATGGCCTTGTGGATGCGCAATGGAATATCACGACCAGGTTCAATAGACGTTCGTCCAGCAGGGTTTATCCCCTTCACCAGCACGCTAGTGCCGACATCGGGGTCCATTTTCAAATGGTTTTGGACGTGCGTCTTGACAAATTCCAGGTCGTCTGGAACTGTGTAGTCGAGGATAACTTGGCGCGGCGCCACTCGTGATACTAGCTGGACAATACTCTTGGTGTCCACTTCATCACCGCAAGGCTGATAGTGCACACCACACTCCACATTCACACCAAGGCGCTTGCTGACACGTTTACGTTCAGGGTCTGCGTACAGCAAATAGTTAACTGTACCAGGTGTGCAATACTCCGAGAGCACGATAAGGTTCTTCGGGTCACTGGCGACTGCCTTAATAGCACGGAGTGAGTCGCCCTGAGAAATATTTGCTGGCCCCGTAAACAGCACAAATGGCCCTGGCTGCTGCAGATTCTTCCAGTCAAACACTTGAAGGTCAGCAGCAATCGGATTCTTATCACGCAGTAGATTCTGAGTGGCAGATGTACACGTGCGAGACAACACAGGTAGAAATCTGCTCGGATACTCCATAGAAGCGTGCGACAAATAGATAGGGCATTTGCCAGTCTTCCCAGTCGCATCTTTTATCTGCTGCCAATGCTCCAGTATGATCGTGATCAGTTCGTGGAAGTATCCAAGACGGTAAACCGGGATTACCACTTTGCCGTTCGAGGCGATACACTCCAGAATCGCCTTGACGAGCTCTCTCTCCATAGCGCTTTGCGTCTCTGACACAGTCACAGCAAATGAGCTTCTCGTAATCATAGCAGTCGGTTCTAGTCGAGGAATCTGCGCCGGTAGCAGCACTCGTCCGCCTGTGAGATTGAAATCGTTGGCGAAAAGCACAGTTGTGGCTCCGATCTCCAAGTAAAAGGCACAACCTCCAGCCACGTGGCCAGAGTGATAAGCTGTGACTTTCAGACGATCGTTCACAGTCACACAGGCCTTCAGTGCGACGGCCTTGGTCTTCCTGAAAGCTGGAGCAATGTCCTGAACGTCGTATGGAGCTGGTAGGCCGCTACCTCCGTCCTTCACCTTGGTGTGGCATCCCGTCCTGCAATATAAAAAAACGTATATCTGTCAGTCCTACATATCTGTATAGTATATATCCTGCATCTGCTAGACTCTTACCAATATTCCGCTAGAAGAAGCGGTGCAATGGCTCGAGTTCCATGCGTCATTAGGATGGCTGGGGGATGTTTCTGGCTAGGGTCTTGAGCAGCAGCGGTGGCTGGAGCGACCCAGGACACGCCGCACTTTTCAGTTACATAGGGGAGCATGTAGCAGGCTCCAGGGCGGTAATCCGGCACCAGTATGGCGTCTACAGTGCCCCCATCTCTTCGTAGGAGGTCCTTCAGGTCGCGTCGGTACTGCATCGTCGCTGCATCGAAATCTTCGGCGCTTGCGTCTTCTGGAGAGAAGAAGGAAATGTCTTTCACCTCACCACAGCCCAACAATACAGTGACGCCCGTGATCTCATCACGTAGGCAGAAGGCGGCGCCGTTGCCGAGTCGTTCAACTGACAGGCTCATCGTGGATTATTCCAACTGAGAGGAAGTGTTAGAATTAGAACCTACACTTAAGCACGAAGCTCACGCTTAAATCTAGAATCTAGATCCAGTTAAAATCTGAAGATTTAACAAACCATCTGCTCCACTATTTGTTCTAAAATTTATCTATTTGAAGAAAATTAGATCTAGAACTTGTCAGCTTCAACAAGGCTAGCAAAAAAAGTTGGCAGCTCGTCTGGCGTCAAAAAGGTCTTCTCCATCGTAGCTCGCGTTTGCACCTCAACAAGACCTTCCTTCGTAAAACGCTTGCCCACGACGACACGGTATGGGTAACCGATAAGCTCCGATTCGGCCAACTTCGACCCAGGGCTTTCTCGCCAGCGATCGTCAAGCAGAACATCGTCTCTTACCAAACCAGCCACATCACCAGAAGCAAGCTTGCCAGCAACATACCATGCAGCCTGGGATACGGGATCGTCCTGTTTCTTTCCTCCAATTGACATAACAAGAACCTTGTACGGAGCAATCTCCATAGGCCACGCGATTCCGTGGTCGTCGTGTGAAGCCTCGACAGCCGCAGCGACCAGTCGACTAACACCAAGACCGTAGCAGCCCATTTCTAGCGAAACTTTGTTGTTCTTGGCATCCGTGTACGTCGCACCAAATGGCTTCGAGTATTTCTGTCCAAGGTAGAAAACGTGACCGACCTCGATGCCACGCTTGTCCTCAAGCACCGCAGCGCCACCGCTGTTGCAGCGTGGGCAACAGTCACCAGCTTGCGCCAAACGGAAGTGTCCCCAAGCAAGATGTGTATGTTTCTGATACTTTGATAGAGTCTCTGCAGCGGCACAAAGAGCCTCCACGGAAGCGTTATTACTCTGTTTCAAAGAATCATCCAGCAGCAAATGCAACTCCGATGTTGGGTCACGCTTTGTTAGCAAATCTGCGATCTTTGCCTGGTTCACGATCACTTCACCTTCATCACCACCGATGAACGGTTTAGCTGTCAGTTCATTCACTTCACGATCATGCCGAGCAAAGCACAATGCCATACGAGGCACTGAGCTAACCTCGACGTTCTTCTTGACAGCCTCAGGATCATCAGTTTGTTCCTGCTCGTGAACGAATTTGACCGAGAAACCCTGCGAAACTGCAACCTGCTGAAGCTCCATTACTGTTTCCCACACTTGTCCTTCACCTGTGCGAGCCTGGTCCTGGAGCCGCGCAATGACTCCGTTAAGCTCCGCTGAGACTTCGTCACTAAGCTCCTCACTCGACACTGGCAGGTTTCCCTCCGCCTTCTCCACATTGGCCGCGTAGTCACACTCCGACGACGAACAGGACAGAATTGCGTCTTCACCAACATCCGCCAGCACGTGAAACTCGTGTGACAGATTGCCGCCAATATTTCCAGAATCTGCCTCCACACGTTTGACCGGCAACTTGAGTCTTGAGATCAAGATCTCATTGTATGCAGCAGTGACGTCCTCGTACGTCTGCAGCGCTTTTTCATACGATGTATCAAAAGAATACATGTCCTTCATCACGAACTCTCTCGCTCGCAATAATCCAAATCGTGGACGGATCTCGTCACGAAACTTGCGGCCTATCTGATACAGTCTCAAGGACGAGTCTGCCGTCCCTGCTGCATTGTAATGGGCCGCCACGAGACTTGTGATGCTTTCCTCGTGTGTGGGACCCAGAATCAGCAGGTCTTCGCGTCGATCTTCAAGCGTCATAAGCTCCGGACCGCGACTCTGCCACCGGCCCGACTGCTTCCACAGCTCGTTGGGTGTCAGCACCGTGAGGTCCACGCGGTTGCCACCGATTTTGCACATCTCATCGTCGATTAGCGCCTCCAGCTTGGCTACCACGCGACGGCCGAGCGGTAGCAGCGCAAAGAGTCCGTGGCCGCCTTTGCGCACAAAACCAGCCCGCACCAGTAGTTGATGGCTGGGCACCGCAGCGTCTGACGGCGCCTGCTTCTCTGTGGGAGCCCACAGCACGGACCTCAACGCACAAGGGGCAGCACGGATCGACTGCAACGTCGACACGAAGGAGCCGCGGATAGCAGCTCCTTGCAGTCTGCGACGAGCGCGAACCGCCCACATTTTGACCAGCAATGCACGAATGAGTGGCGATTATTTGTGTGGCGCACACTTTCTATAAAGTACTGTACTCTGCGGCAACAGCAGTCTTCTCATTCTTACAATTTCGAAGATAAATCCGACATTACAGGTTATTATGATTTGTGATTGACCTCGAGCTTAGTCGCATAATTTATAAGATGTGAGGTGTCTTTTATTGAGGCAGATTACAAATATTTACTTACCGGTACCAGCAAATATTCTCAGAATGATTACCGGTAATTACTTTTGTAATACCGGTACGTGAACTGAGCTCCGAGCCAATGTTGGTGCAGGACGAAGAGCTTTTGGAAGACCCCAACGCCATTGACAGTTGTGTTCATGGGACGTACCTTAAGCTATGGGGCAGTATCTGGATATGAACGATGAAGTGGTGAGCTGTACAATGGCGGTGAAGGACGGAATCCGCCTCTACAAGTCTGTATTTGGGGCAAAGCCCCCCTATAATGAAACGAATTAGTAAGACAACTACTCTTTTTACAGGAGTATTTACGAAGTATTAGAAAAGGGTTAGGGTAGACATAAACCGCCTAGGGACCATTTTTGGCGAAAAATACTTGTGTATAAGAACCCTTGAAAGGGAGTGACGGGGAAGAAAAATAGAAAAGCGCGGTAGTGACCTCTTTTGTAGTATTAACAGTCACTAAAAAGAGGAGTCATTTTTATGCTCTGTATGAAGAGTCGCTTTGTATCAGGCGCCAAAGGATTGCGCTGTTCAAGGAAGTTTTAGGAACGTTTTACGCTCACGGCCTTACGGCGCGTACCCATGCGAACCGTTACGCTGGTAACGATTAACGTCGAGGGACAGTCCTATTTAGTCATAAAGGGCATCAAAACTGATATATTGGAAGGGATACAGAGCCGTAAGAACTCTGTAAAAAGTCATGGCTACACGTTCAGAATGCACTGTTTTTCTGTACTGAAATAGGATAGAGGCGTGGGAGCGTGGTTCTAAGCAGCGATTCGTGTTCGCTCTGCGCTATCGAAGCCGCTAAGGTTGCTCTGGAGGTCGCCCGCGAGTCTCAAACGATCGCCTTCGCACGGACATGGGTCGAGAAGCGAGGATGGGGGAATGGAGGCGGTGCTGAGCGGCCAGAGATCGTTAGCGCGTGGACTTGACCCCCGTATTTTCCAGCTGCTGTTGGAAGATGAAGTCGATCTGCACGCTACACGTACAAGCAATGGCGATTCTGCTCTCCATGTTGCGCTTCGGCGACGCAATCAAACTGCAGCGGTTCTTTTCGTTCGTGCTGGCCTAAGTTTAACAGCAGTCAATCTGCTCGGTCAACGTGCGATCGACTGCGCACGTTCGCCAGCACTACGCTTCGCTGCGAAGAAGGAGGCAGGTCAGCGCGACTTTATGATCAGCTACAGTCATGCTCACGCACCGTTAGCACGGAAGATTCGAGACTCGTTAGAGCGCCACCGAGTGACAACTTGGATCGACACTATGGGACCTGCTGGGATCACTGATGGCTCCGTCTGGCGTCAAGAGATTGCTCGCGGGATCCATAGCAGTGCTCTTGTATTAGCTGTACTCACGAAAGACTACCCACAGTCACAATAGTGCATGAAAGAACTCGCTTTTGCCAAAATGCAGACATTTCTGTCGTGGCTATACAATGCGAGGATATGGAAATATCTGAAGAGCTACAAGTTTACCTGTGGACCCGCCAAGTGATTGACTTTCGATCGGCAGTTAAGCACAATAACGGTGTAAGTTCTACAGGAGATGATGCTGATCTGCAGCGGATGGCGAGGAATAGCTCATATACAGTTGACACTGACTCACATGAGGGGGAAGTGTACAGTGAAGATGATACTACGAACGTGGTGGTCAATATGGTGGGCAAGCGCGTCTTAAGCAACCTCGAGTTAGCTCCGAACTACAATGACGAGGCCTTTTGCCACTGCTTAAGGATACTACTGGACGGTATTCAAGATTAAATCGAGGAGCATCGTGCACGACTAGCTCGGCGCCAGTTGCAGCAGCAGCAACAAGCACAACTTCCTGGTCATGAGACTGATGCTACTGTTAGCGGAGACGCGTCACGCCATGGAAGCCGTCGCAACGAGAGTGAGTGTTATCCGGAGGAAGAAGACAGAGCATTGTGCGGAATGTCTACGGATCATGATAAGCAAAGCGAGTGTGAAGAAATCGACACGTCGAATGCAGCGATCAGCTTCCCAGAGGGCCACTGAACGTGCCACTTATTCGGCCATTACGACGGATTGACTCATTGGCTTCGTCTCTCGCGTTCACATCCGGTACAGACTCTTTCGTCTTTATTGCGCATGGTGATATCCACCGCTCATTGTGTCAACGCCTCCAGAAATCGTTGCTCAAGCAGGGAATACGCTGTGTTGTGGATCAAACAGCTCCTGCGGTACAATATGCGCATCGGTCGCAAGAAACTGTGAACAGCGATGTTCAAAGCGGCGGCTTCGGCGCAGATTTGAGCTGCATTGAGCACCCAGTGGCTCCTTTACCTGTTCAAACGCGGCAATTGGCTGCAAAAGATGCCATTCTCGTCTGCTCTGTCGTCTTAGTGGTGTTGCCTCCGCTGTCTGCAAATTGCGACCTTCTTGCTGATCAATTGGCTTTCGCAGAGGACCGTGGGAAGTTGCTGGTGCCTATTCTCCTATCGCTACACAAAGTGGATCTGGCCAAGCGCTACGCCTTTTCACGCAGTATGGTGCACCACTTTAATATCTCTCTGTGCTTCGAGCAGAGCCTGGAACAACTTACCAACTATTTAAGAGTACTCCCTCAATTACCCACCGTTTGCTGGGCTCTCTAGTCGATATGAATAAAATATGACATGCAAAAGTAATACTGCTGTGAACAGTTTCCTTACTGGGGTTGAAGTTGGCTTATTTAACTTTCGGATTTGCGTCTGTCACTTTTGATTTTGCTGTATCAAGTCACAATGGATTTCTTGGATTCCATTCGCGGGGCCGTTTTGAAACAAATGGAAGAGGAAGCTGTCAACATGTTTTCAAGCGTAAGAGACTTTCGTGAATTCATCACAATGACACACCCTGCAGTTGATATCTGCGTGACACTGAGAATGTGTTGCCTTCACGGGGAGCGTCTTGAAGGTACTAACGCTACTCGTGTAGTCTTGGTCGACGAAAGGAGATGTGTGGAAGTCAACACAGCCTTGAAGGCAGTTGATGATTGTATAGGCTATCAAGACAAACGCGATGTGGTGCAGGTGACTGTTTGGGATTCAAAGATGTCGAACGCTTTCGCTGGCGATTCAAACATTGTGTTTCACGTTGGAGCTATGTACGTTCTTAATCAAGTCGAGTATGTCGGATTGTACGATGGCATCGCGAAGGGCAGTATTCAGTACGAGTATGGCAACTTGGATAAGATCAGAGAGATTGCGCCTCCCCTCAAAAAGCGCACGTCTTGGTGAGGGTCATACAGCAGCTACAAGAATCAACTTGACCGACAGCAACAGCGTGATGGCGTTAATGATGAAGACTCGGGGAAACGATCAGACCATGTTGCTGGTGCATCAGCAATTACTATATGGTATTCTTCTTTTCAGTTAAAGGATATTATAACAGAGTTGTTGCAACGAAATACTATGAATTTAATTAATACTAATTGGAGCTACTGTAGACATGAGTGTGGGAGGAAGTAAGCACAGTTGTAGCATGAAATTGTAGATATGGAATTTATGAAGTAGATCAAAATGAAAAAAAATATATAACTATATAATCGTGCAGGATTCGGAGGCTAATGACTTCTTCGGATACGTTCGTTGGTAAATCAGCTAATGGATATGTTGAAGTTGCAGTAGCGGAATCAATGGCTAAATGAAGTCGTATCGCATCTCTTGGATACGTTGATGGTTCAATAACTAGAATGCGCGCAGGGTTTGAAGGCTAATGAGTAGGAATTAAACTCAATTTACTATAAAAATGTAGGAAGGCATCGTACTAACAAACTAGATAGATTAGGGGCGTCAAAATAAATGTAAACGGTGTAATATTGGCAAATAGACACAATGTACCAGGTTTGGAGCTGGAAACCATTACGTGGATCAAGTGAAGGTGACTGTATATCTAGAAACGTTGGTGAGGATGCGTGCGGTGTGGCACGACGGTGCTGTCGGTTGAAGTTTGGCTGGTAGATCTAGAAGGAGTCGCAAAATGTAATATGGACTCATAATTAATGCCCCAACTTCAAATTCATTAATAATGCAGTGATCTCGTATGTATGGTATCTGTGCTAGGCAATGACGATGGACATCGAGTACTGGGCAGTGTCATGCAAGTGGGCTACACAAATAAAGTCTAAGATAATGGAAGAAGCGGTTGTGATAGTGATGGCGTTTTGAATAGCATTTCTTCGGATACGTTCGCTAATGAATCAGCTAATAGATTTGTTGAAGATGCAATGGCTAAACGAAGTTGTATCACATCTCTTGGATACGTTGACGTTTCGCTTCGAGCGATCGAGCCAAAATTCCAGTAATATTTGGTGCGGGAATGCTTTAAAAATTACGAGAATTTGTCAGAATTTGTGAAGTTGCTCGTAGACTTCAAGCCAGAGTGGTTTACAGAACTAAAGGAATTGGCGAGGAGGAAATGTGTGTAATATCACAATGAAAGAGTTTGTTTGCAAATTAATTATAGTCACCCTTTTGGTTTGTTCGAATATAGCATTATTTTACCTTATCCGCCGCGTACAATGGCAGTAGGACGTGGGTATCTTGAATGGGACGGATGATTCGTGCCGGCAGTGCTCACTTTTAGTTTTGCTAGCGACGAAGCAACGCCATCGCACAATTTCACCACATACAACTATGAATCTGCTAGAAGCTATCAAGAACGACGTCCTAAAGCAGAAGGAAGAAGAAACGTTGAACCAATTCTCAACTGTGGCGGAGTTTAGAGAATTCATTTTGGCGTCGCACCCAACTGCTGATGTAAGCGTTACGCTCAGCATGTGCTGCCTTCAATCGGAACGACTTCGCGGTGACCATGGAACTCGTGTTACGCTGGTCGACGCCGCGCAACGGGAAGTGTTCGAGCCGACAGCAAATGCCCTAACCGACTTGACACCTCTGAAGCGCAAACCGTATCTGGTTCAAGTGACGGTGTGGGATGCCAAACCGACGAAGTGTGTCAATGGCAAGCGCAACATTAAGTTTGAACCTGGTGCCGTGTACAAATTTTCCCATGCCGATGGCGTTGGTTTCTATGCTGATATTGCAAAGGGGAGCGTTCAGTACGAGCTCGGTAACAAGTACAAGATTTTCGAGGTCGAACCACCACTGAAAAAACGCAAGGTGGCCTGTGAGATCTCACCACAGCACTTAAAAACCAAGGCTTACGAAGCGGAAGACAACACGAGTGCGATGAGTGCCATCCCGACTGACAATGATGTGGTGATGGCATCGGAGAGCAAGAGCGAGGAAAATCATCCAACAGTGGCGAAGCGCAGCAAGCGCCACACCTGAACAACAGCCAGGTGCGAAACGTGCAGTAGCAACTGCCCAATTTTATATTTCGTGAAAATTAGCAAAGTTGTTGTATTGAGAGCTGCGGTTAGCATTTACAAACTAATTTGCCTTCATAGGTTCGTAGTGTAATGACTAATAGCACAATAACCACCAAATAGAAGGCAACTTTTAACCACAAAACGAGTGTAATGAATACAAAAAATAGTTTACTTTGGTATTCGCTGTGATGATATGCGATGTTCGAATTGAAATTGAAGTAGTAGTTTTAGGTGTGATAAAGCGCCAATAGATTTAAAATTTGCTCACAAAGATCCTGGTAGCAGCTCCAAAGGGGTGGCACCAGATCTAGAATGTGAGGGATCAAAAGAGCAGTTATACTGGAATGAGAGCCGTCATATAAGATTTGGATTACGTCAGGGCAGATCCACGGGTCCTGCAATGAAACAGCTCAAGCTGGACGAGTTCTTTCTTCGAGGCGGGGGTGGAAACCAACATACGCGCGTGAGGCAAGGTCCAAATTAAGTAGGTGGTGAATGTTTGTAGCCCAATTGACCAGAATTTCTGACAATAAATACTAGGTGTACCGAGAACGTTCCGTGTTGCAAGCATTTGCGGAGTATGAAGACGTGGCGCAAAATGTATAGGTGTGTAGACCTCGTAACAGACCCACGGTAATGTGAAAGATGACACTTTACATTTAACTTAGAGTACTAATTCCTATACGTTTTGATATTTGCCTAGCTGGACATATCATACTGTAAGTGTCAGCCTCGTGCTGACTGGACTTTGACATGTGTTTCAGGTTGTGAAAATCAAGCTGTGCGTGAAATTGGCAATTTCTGACTTGTTTGCCTGGACAAGTACGCGACTAATGAATTTTATAGACACAAACAGAGTGTGTGGAAGGCCACTGCGCATCAAACTACAAATGTGGGAACCAACGAATGCAACGTGGCAGACATGCAGAACTATCGCTGGCGTCCCTACCTGGCAAAGGCATCTCTTTGATGGCGGACATGCCAATCGAGCGTGATACGTTGATAGCTCAGTACGTAGGCGAGGTGATAAGTCGAGCGATGTATCGGGAACGTGAAGAAAAGGTAAGATACCGTTTAGGTGGTTGTAGTTTGTAATTTTACTGAATCTGGTACTATGCTTTGTAGGAAAGTCGGCGCTCCCCCCATACGTATGGTTTAGCTGTGAATACAAATGAGGTGATTGATGCACGCTTCATTGGAGGAATCGCCCGATTTGCGAACCATAGTTGCTCGCCAAATTGTGTTGTGGAGCGCTGGGAGGTCGGTGGTGAGACCTGTTGTGGAATATTTTCCGTCACCGCTATTAACAAGGGAGAAGAAATTACCATCAAGTACGGAAGGGCGTTTGTACGAGATCAGGTAAGCTAAGTGCCTGCTTTTAATGGTCCCTACTCGAAAGTCTAACTATTTTTTTTCTAGAATCAAAAGCAATGCTTTTGCGGATCTACAAATTGCACAGGATTCATGTGAGTTGACCCAGTTCAGGAAATAACGTTAGTATTGTTTTAGTTAATGTACAACTGCTGATTTTGCATTTGATATTTAACCTCCGCCGTAGCTGCTACATATCGACGTATTTGCTGAGGTAAATTTAATTGTAGATCGAATTTACACGGGCTTAAATTATAATATAACGTGAATGTTACTACGGCTTACGAGCACTTAGAAGGGCAGTTGGAGGTTGGGAGTAAATGTAGTTTTTTTCATTGCTGATATTTTATGTTATTGTTGCTGTAGAGTAGTTTAGCAATGTACAATAAGGAAGAAAACAAGGAAGAAGATGCGCCCTTGAAAAATGAAATCTTTTACGACTACAAACTCAATATGGAACCATGGGCGTACCGTGGTACCCTACGCACTTTTCGATCTGGAGCATCAACGTACATTTACTTCAACGAACACAGGCGAAGTAGCCTGTCCTAATTTCGAGTCGAAAGATTTGACTCCAAGTCATTAAATGATTTGAGTCGCAATGGTTCGTGCTACCAAGAAGACGCGAGCTATGAAAGCGGCCAAGCAAGCCAAAGCAGCACTACGCGTTATACGTCGAATAGCGACTCGTATAGGGACCACCCAACAACACACACCTAATCAACACGCCGAAAGACTCAACGAGGTAGAAACTGAGCAAATGAATGCTCGATTAACACGGCACGAAGAAACAAAGCGGAGGAATTTAGACTCTCAAAGTCTCCCCCAGAGCAAGCGTCGGAAGCGTAAAGACCGTCTCCTTGATGCTAATGAGGCTGCCAATCATGTGAACGACAACAAAGGTATGCAACAAGACTGGTATAAACTGTTACGGACAGTGACTAACTCTTGTCATTTCACTATTGCAGATTTCTTCGACGCCATTGACGCACCCTTGACTCGAGTGTGCGGAAGTTGCGGAGAGGTTGCGAATGCGTATAATTCAAAGTTAAAACTATTCGACCCCAAATCAATATTCTTTTCACCTCTGTGCAACGCTGAAGGAGAATGTGAAATAGTTCCCGAAGGGCTTGTAGGCGATGCTATTAATGAATGCGTTCGTGACAGGTTACTAGCTGGTGGCTGTAGCAACAATAAAACAATGATATGGCTGTGTGATAGATGTAATAGATCGCTGACGACACGAAAAACACCAAAATTTTGCCGGAGTAGTGGCTTTAGGATCGGAACAGTTCCGACTGAACTGGCTGAATTGAATCGAATAGAGTCAAGGCTGGTTGGACTAGGTATTTCCTTCACTACGTGCGTAAATCAATACAGAGATGGCCAAGAATTTACTCGCGGAAATGCAGTCAACTACTGGAACGAGCCGGCTAAAATGGTAAAAGAACTTCCTCGACCACTGAAAGAATGTGGAGTTGTGTTACTTAAATCACAATCGGATAATACAACGAACTATTTTCGTGTGCGGCCAGATTTGGTGAGGCGCGCCTTGTGCTGGCTGATAGCGAATAACCCGCTTTATGAGCACATTCAAATTTCAGAAGATAATCTTAGGGAACTCGATCAAAACATCAACCAGGAAATACCAAGTATACCCATCACGGATGATGATGTCAGCGAATTACGAGGATCGGTAAGTCAACTAAACAGGGAAAAGCAAAATTGTGGGCCTAGTAGCAACGGTGTTGAGGGGCCGAGTGAAGACGACGTTTGTCAAGAACTTAATCCAGATACTCACTGTATGACTGGCCAAACTTGTTCCGGTGTCCGAAATGAGAGTGAATCTGAGGGAAAACAGAGTCATTTAGCTACTACTACTACGAGTTCGAATGGCAGTGAAAATGAAACGGATATTCTTGAAAATGTGACTGAGTCATTTGAATTAGAAGTGAACCAAGACGATCAAACTGAAATGGATCATATTCTTAATTCGATAGGAGCCGATTCTTTAGAAACTAAAATCCCGATTGGAAATATACACCGTAGAACTCATACTATTGATGAGTACAAAACGAAACAACTAATGCAATGTTGCTTTCCTACTTTATGTCCAGACGGTTTGGGTGGTTATCACCCTCTGGAATTCGAAACTAGACATCACGAGTACAATCTAGCCGAATATTGTGCTCACTTGATGAAGTGGCACGACCGGCGCTATGTTATCCACGGCAATTTTAAATTCTTCTGCATGAATCTAATTCAACGCCGTCAAATTGACGGTTTAGTTCGACGAATTCGCTATTCTGAAACACGTGCCGAGGCAATGGAATTAGCCGGTTGTGGAAGAACACAAGGAGAAAGCCGCTCCAGTAACGAAAAGGAAGAACTTAGTGCCGCTATGAACGTTTTGAAATCCTTAAAACCTTACTTTAAAGTTGTGAGAGGTAGTGGACTATACTGGTCGAACGTACGAGAAGACCTAATGTCAATGATAGGAAATCGAGTATTGCCAACGAAATGGCCTACTTTCTTTTTAACACTGAGCGCAGCGGATACGATTTGGCCAGATTTCGCTCGAGCATGCAATCCTGCATTGACACTGGAAGAGTGCAGACAGCTCTCGTTTAACCCCCCAAACCCGAGAGCCTGTATGAGACACGATTCCGCGAAAAGCTTAACGTGTCTGAGACACGTTAAGCTTTTATACTTAACGTTTGTCTAGAACCATACAAATTGTCAGTCAAGAAGGGGTAGGCATATTTCCCATCTTCCCGCACAGCAGTACATAGCTATGCGTGTGCCTTGAACTTGGTTTTTCTAGAAAATTAGAAGACACAGGTTTAATGGGTGTCACACAAATCAGCATAGAGGATTGCAGGTGGAATTCTGCGCCACCCATATCTCGGTCATTCGAGAATTTTCGCCGCTGCCGCTCAGATGTCCGGGTTCAGAGGCCGATGGCGAGAGCTTCTGAAGGAAGGATGGAAATCAAAGGCCCCTACGGGCCTGTCAAACGACTACACGTACCTTATGCCGGGGAAGACGAAGAAGGACGTACGTGGCGTGGAGTTTTTCGTTGGAGAGGCTGCGTTGATGGCATATTTGGACCGTATCGCCTTGGGTAAGTAGTATCGCCTTTCAAGGTCTTTGTGTGGACTCTAATACGTGTGCTTTGCTAGAGGAGATGAAGAAAGCTACCGCGGCGAAGCAACAAGCAAAAGCGGCAGTGACTCAACCTACTCCGGAAAGTGGACAGCCTGAAACCGATGTGCCTGATAGACAAGATGGTGCGTTTGATCTTATTGTGTATGTACATGTTATGATTCTAACGCTATCGTGTATATAGTTGCTGACCGAACTGTCAGTCCAGATCCAGACACGACGAAGACTGTTTGTCCGAACATTCAGGCTACCTCTCCACACCTGGCAGAGAGTGATTTGGGCAATTCAGTTGGTGATGAAAACGGTAAGCAGCTCGAACACATTGCTTGTACCTGTGAGCTACTGCTAACGCTAACACACCACTCCCTTATAGGTACAGACGAGTATCCCAATTGTAGTTTACATGCTGAATTCGATGCTGCTGCTACATCTGGCTCAGAGTATGCCTGCTCTGAGCCTGATAGCGACGGAGAAAGCACGATGCCAGGTGAAGAAGGGCAACCGGCCGCCATACCACCTGAAAAAGTGCAACCAAGCGTCAGCCTTGCACATGGAATCAGAACGATGATGGGTAAGCTTATGGTGTGTATACACGTTAAGGGTACACGTTATGGATTCTTATAGTGTATGTGGATGTAGATGACCCAAACATTATCGCGCCTGGAAATAATCCAGCCGATTTTGCAGCACTGGATTCTGATGGTGACAATGAGAATATGTCCATTTACGATGATGATAAGAACTTAGGCTTCGAAGAAGCCGACGCCGTTGTGGAGGATTCTGCTGCTGCTCCTGACTTACTTTTCGAGCCATCTCTACTTGAATCAGCTGGCGGAGTTGGAGCACTTGCGCGCGGTAGTGTACACAAGGATGTTCTAAAAGACATGAAGCTCAATGGATGGAATGGACCTGATACCCAATTGCCTTTTCCCTACATGGACGAGCCGTACGAGGCTCGGACTGATGCATGGCTTACGGAGGACTATCCCAATATTTACAGCGGGGATCACGGGCCTACTGAAGAAGCCCTTTCCGCTGCTTCGACCGCGTTGGGGTCATTCTTCTTGTTTGCACCTTCCCATCTTTGGGAAGACATTGCCGGAGCTAGTGACGACTATTTCCTTCACAATTTGGATAAGCGTGTTGGCGCCCAGCGTGCAAAGCAACAAGCCCGCCACCGGAAGGACAGCAATTTTGAAGTGAAATCGCAAGAACAAATCAAGGAGAATTTATTGGCAACACCTGACATATCTGGAAGAGAGTTTTGTATTTTTATTGGACTACTCATTGCCAGAACAATTGCGCCGAACAAGGAGAAATTTGACCACCACTGGAAGACTACCGACGAAGGCGCAGTTCCGCGTGGGTGCTTTGGCCATTATATGAAGCGAGATCGGTTTGCTCATCTTTCCCGCAACATGCACGGCACATTGATCTCTCAGACACGGAACAAACGCAAGATTCGTGCCCGTAAGCCGAAGAGACCTACCGATGAGACTGCAGGTGATGCTGAGAACTTCGAGAAGTCGGGCGGTAAATCTGGAAGTGACGGATCATCACGCCAGAAGCGATCCCGCAGAAGTGATGACATAGTTTAGGCAGGCTCCGGCTCTGATTTTTGACTTGCATTAAATATACTGCACAGTTCACGTATTCCCAGCTGGTTTGTTTTTCTAAATATCGACCAATAAATCAGGCTTGTACTGTATCGTCTTTGCGTACAGGAGACACAATAATAGATATACCATGTATTAGGAAGACACTTTAGGCGGGGAAGACACGATACCAAAGTTTGGGGTTGGGGGTATGGACCGGCTTTAGTACAGACACGTTAAAATATATATGGAGTATAATATGGGTGCCCATCTTGCGGATAAACCTTAACGTGTGTAGGTATGTGTGAGATGGTGAGCACCAAATGGCCTCGGGCTTGGGGGGTTAATGAACGAAGGAGGTATCTAAATGAGAACCCAGACATTAGTGCCCGTCATTTTAACAGAAGATTTCAAGCATTCTTCGATAACATTTTATGCGGGAGGTCTAAACCTTTAGGCGAAATTGTAGATCACTTCTGGCGTGTAGAATTTCAGCAACGAGGCTCTCCTCACATACATTGCTTGCTGTGGGTGAAAGATGCACCTGACGTTTTAAAACTATCAGAGACGGATGATGGACGGGCCGAACTAGCTGATTTTGTAGATAAACACATATCAGTCCTAACGAAGACGCTCTCGGAGCTTAGTTCGTGCCCATGCTCTGCTTGTACTGCCAGTGAAAGTGACATTCTGGCCTTAAGACCACCACATTATGGTAACAAAGAGTGGAATTGTGATTTGGCCAGACTTGTTCAGCGTGTGCAGCAGCATGAATGCCACGCAGGTTCTACTTGTAGGAAGAAAGGCAACGAATGTCGTTTTGGATTCCCCAAGAGTTTACAACCTAGAACTGTAATTGAGTCGAAAACGAGTTCAGATGGCACACCTTCCTTGAAAATCCACTTACAACGTGAGGTGTCCACTATTAACAATTATTCACCGCATCTCCTCTCGTGTTGGCGTGCTAATATGGACCTGCAACTAATTGGAAACTCCTACGGAGCTGCTGAATACGCAGGAGCGTATGTAAGCAAAGCAGAGCCAGATACACTTCGATTCAGGCGAGTGATTGCAAAAGCTATACAACGGAGTGACTCAAATCTTCCCTATCATTCGATTCTGAAGCGAGTAGCAAATGCGACTCTCGCGGTTCGCGAGGTTGGTGCACCGGAAGCTATATACATCCTCCTTCGCAATCTACCAATGCATAGTAAATCCCGCTCAATCACCAAAGTCAAGGTGATGCGTCACAGTACCCGTTACTATCGCGTTGAGCCGCAAAACCTAGACGACCTTGTTGCCTTAGCAAGTACACCAGAGATCGAGACTATTCGAATTGAGCCTATCGAGAAAGCGTACATGAATCGCCCGGACAATGATCATTTTAACGCTATGACTTTAGCAACATTTGTAGAGACTTTCGAAACGATTGAGTCGATACGTAAAGTAGCATTCTCCGATGATCTGTACGAGTGTATGAACGGTGAAGGGTGGATCAAGAAACGCAAGAAAGCCACGGTTGTGCAAAAGACACCCTGGATACGACCCGATTCGTCGAACCCCACTTTCTGATTCTCCGAAGTATTTTTGTATGTTCCATGGCGGACGTTAGAGGAGCTTCCCACAACCGATGATGAAGCAATAGCACGCTTTTTTCAAGCTCAAAATTCGCTGCTGGATGCAGAGTTGAAACACGAATCAAATGCCAAGTTAGCTCGGCAGTATCAATTAGATTTAATAAAATCCGCTCGTAGCGAATCAAGTATAACTGCCCTGCCTCCGTCTGAGTATGTGTTTGTATCGAATACTGATGGAGAAATGCTAGAACCAGAGCCGATGGGTGCGGTAGAAACCTCAGTAAACCAAAATAAACCGATGGAGTGGAAAGCCAAACACACCTACACGTCTGCCATCATTGATAAAGCTCGTGACTTTTTGAATGGATCACTAAAGCCATGGGTGAAGGAGAAAAAGGAATCTCGATCACTAGGAACCAGTTTTTGTCAAACTGGAAATTTGAAATCGCACTATCAATACCCTACTTCGGATAACAAAAATCTAGTTAATACCGAAAAAATGGCTGAATCGCAGTGGATTCCGTTTGCAATTGCAATGAAACAATCGAGAAGACGGTTTACATGTATGCTGGATAAATCTAAGTGTAAGCCTCTCCAAATGATTATAAACGGTGAAGGTGGCTCTGGGAAAAGCTGGCTAATTCGCCATATAGTGAAGGACATGCACAACGTATTTGGTGAACATAAAGCTACGAGACGATAATCAAAACAAGTACTACTCCTAGCTCATCAAGGAACTGCTGCATTTAACATAAAAGGAATGACACTGTGCTCAGCTTTCTCATTTTCATCGTTTTCAAAGTCCTCATTCTCAATTCCCTACAAATCTCTAACGGACTCGAAAACGGGCCCAACAAAGCTGAAACGATTGCAGGAAGAATATAAAGACGTACATCTAGTTATTATTGATGAGTTTAGCATGATATCATGCGGCATGTTATATTGGATTGATAAAAGAATGAGAGAAATATGGCCAAGCAACTCAAACGAGCTTTTTGGTGGAAGAGATGTGTACTTTACTGGAGATTCTGCTCAATTAGACCCCGTTGTCCCAACTTCACTATCAACACCCCTTCAAAAGATTTCAAACCAGGTTCAGCGACGTGGGAAAGAAATATGGGATAGTATTGAAACGGTGTGTATGCTAACTAGTCAAAATAGAGGAGCTTTAGATCCTGACTGGTTTAGCGCTCTTCGTCGTCTACGTAAAAAATCGCCAACCCAGGATGACATTGATCTCTTCAACTCCCGTTCAGTGCAATTTGTTGGAAAACCTAAGTGGATGGCTAATGCCAAACATATTGCATACAAAAATATAGATGTTAATGACGCCAACGATCACAGTATAGTATCAGCTCATGTACCGATTGTGCATTTAACTTCGCAGCATTTCGTTCAACAAAAACGTTTAACGACAAAACGAGACATACCTGCTGGAACCGTTCGCGCACTTCTAACAGACGCTCAAACAGCTAACGCTGATCATGACAGAGTGGTGCCTAACAGGTTAAAACTGTGTGTTGGTGCACCTATAACACTTACCTACAACATTGCCCAAGCTGCAGGTCTGTGCAATGGTACAAATGCTATCGTTTATGACTTTATTTTTGTGTCGGGAAGCGATCTACCCATCGTGCTCGTTCAAGTCACGGACCCGTATATCGGTCCTTCCCTACTAGATGAAGTACCAAATATCGTTCCAATACCACCAAAAGACGTTTCTTGGGGAAAGGCATCCAGTGATCTTCGCGCTGTTCGAAGGGGAATTCCGCTTCGATTGGCTTATGCTATGACAGTGCATAAGGTACAAGGGCTTACATGCTCGTGTGTGGTTTTTCACTCTAATGCAATTCCAAACATTTCGTTTGCATACGTAGCCCTTTCACGTATAACACATCGAAATTTAATAGTTATTACACAGCCACTGACACTAGAACGACTCACAGCTACTCCCGAGCAATTAGCAATTTTCCGAAGTGAGGAGCAGCGTGTTTTAAAAGCTGTCGCCCAAACGACGCTAGCTGCTTCGTCGGTGGTAGACAGAATGAAAGCGGTGGCGCAAGCCCACAACAGCACCATCACACCAAGATGATTAAGAAGGTGAAAACTACGAAAAATGGCTTTCGAGGCGCCAAAACAGCTCGTAGCGCAACGCAATAGAAAAAGACAACTTTGTCGCCCCGAGAACTACAAGAGGTGAGAAAGCTTGTGATTCTGGACAGCAACGAGGCTTTTTAACATGCTTTGTTTTAGGGACTCCGATAAAGCAATGTAATATTGCTGCAGTAATGATGGCTGCGCATACCTGGGTGGAAGCAAGATTCTAGTGCTGTACTTCGAAGGACTTTAGTAAAACTAAGCTCTTCGGGCTGATCGTGACTGCTGGCAAACAAGGGCTACGACACGAACAGGACATGGAAATTGAGTGAAGATTCAAATAAAACTATGAAGTCGTTAGTCTAACTAAGTGGCGTCAATGTAACGTCACCAAACAAAAAAAGTTTAAACAATGTAACCAGTGCATCCACAAGCGTTCATTCGCACTGTATCAACTACTGGAGTCTGCGTATTAACGGGGCTATGACTCGTTGTATTTGCAGTATCGGCAAGAATACATAATATCGCTGGGCAATTAATGAAAATGTGATTTTCAACTCGAAATAGAGTTTTACTACATGTATGTAAGAGCTCTGCTTGGTTTGCTCTTTCCTGCAAAAAAAAAATGTGCAAGTTTGCCTGTATGAAGTGCAAGTTTACGTCAATTTTAGATAAACCGTCTGTAGAACAATATTCACCTTGAATCAAAATAATTTTTATTCCTATGAATTATTGTGTTCGTAGTACTTTAAAAATCGTAAGAGCATATCACAGCACGCGAAGAACACGTAGTAAGCTCCCATGCCTCAAATACTGACCGTATTGCCAGCGTCAGTTTCACCACCCTGCTCTAATGCAACAAAGCCATTCCACAGTTAGCTGACGTAGCCGCTTACATGATGATCTTCAAAGAATAAGCGGCGAGTACGTACTTGTTGGAGCTGGTGGCGCAGACACAACATAGGCGCGCTGGGATGAGGTGACGTTATTCTGGACTTGAGATACCGGTAGCATTACATGCTGAGCTTAAGAGACTGCAGTAGCACCACCCGGCACGTTCGCATGCGGCGTAGCCTGCTTCAGGCTAAACTTCTATTGCATGGCAAGAGCAATCGCAGCACTAAGAGTACTTGGGTACTCTCGGAAGAGATAAGTCTTAACCGACCTATCCTTTAAGCCCTTCATGAACGGGACGACCTTTGTCGCCTCGTCGATCGGATTGGTCACGATGCGTCGAAACCTCCCCGCCTAGGGCAGAACCTGCATTCTCGTCTTCACGGATTGATTGCCCTGATGATTTTTCCTTAACACCTTCGACAGCACGTGGTCGCTGAGCGTTGCTCACCGCAGGTACATCCAGCTCGACATGCTCCACAACTACGTTATCACGGCTTGTGCTTGAACAGGAATCTTCAATTGAAGCCGTAGATGCAGGAGTTGATCCCTTTTTTTTGGTGCTCAAAGACGTAGAACTCTGGATCTTCCGTTTTTTGATTGCCGTAGTTTTCTTCTTTGTTTCTTTCTTGCCATCCTTCTTAGTAGTTTTCCGGTAGCGATCACGCTGCATAGTATTCTGATGATCGCGATGTTCAGCGCAGAGCCAGTGGCGTTCTCCATTCCTCTTGAATGACCTCTTGTTGCGACAATAACCAGGATACTTGCATTGGTCTGAACTGAGGCTTCTTTCTGGTTGTGAGCCCCTAGCGTGGCCATCAACAGTAGAGTTCATTTTCGGAAGAGCTGCACCCTTCTTCGGCATTTGGCACAGCTAAGATCTTGACAGCATAACATAGCGTGATTGCTGTCGTATCAGGACGTTCACCGCACCAGCAGTACACACTTACCTCCTCTGTAGCGACGCAACTGGCAGCAACAAGGTCCTGTCAACTGTAGCTTTTCAAAATGAAAAAAAATTGTTGTTGTGCTTCAACCTATGTATTTGCATATGATGCTTGGGGGGCGGTGCCCAAAAGTTCTTTTATAATAAATTTTTCGGTATTGGCCCCTTAGCAACCGTGGCGACCAATCGCCGTGAGGATGCTGCCATACTAGTAATATTAATAGTTTTATTAAAATTTAATACGCAGGACCTTCGTAAAATAGACGGGTAAATTCCTTCTACCCAAGGTAGATCCTTATTATAGTCCTTATCTACCTAAGACCTTCTATCAAAAACTTACATGATTTGCGTCTCCGTGGAGTACCTTGTGCACGCTTGCTTCACATCAACTACCGGCTGCAGTAAAAGAGACGGGATGGCAGAGTGAGAATGGGTTTTTATTCTACCAGATAGCCTACATACTTGAGTTAACTGTAGATTAAATATCCGTTTCTTGTCCATCGAACACTTTGGTGTGTAGCAGCAAGTATAGTTTGATCGCCTCAGATTCCAATGGAGTCGTATTGCAGCAACATCCCTCTTCAACGATCAAAATTCTCAAGTTCAACATAGGGAAGCGCGGCCATTTGTGGTGGGCCAGAGCAGTGCCTTGCTGGCAGAGGTCCACGGTACATGCATGTAAAGGCAAAATTGTATCAGCAGAAATGCGTGCGAAAAACGCTCACGAAATACTTTATAGAAGGATTCAAATTTAGCTGTAGAGACCCTCAAGTTAATTTCTTATGTTTTGAATGCAAAAGTTTTGTTGGTATAGTATTCCAATCCGACGCTGCTGGATACGCGCATGTTAATGTAAATGTACTAAGAGTAAAGTCGGCAATATTGTCAGATTACAGTAAATATTGACCCAGAGGGACTCATCGGTAACTCGAAGTGAGTCAATAGGTGCACAAAATATTGAGCACTGCAAGCTTCCTGTACACGGGCTCAGCCCAACGTTTTCGAGCTTTGCGCGAGGCGTCGCTCTTCGTTTTACAGTATACTTCGAAGTACATCGTAGCGACGCTTATTACAACAAACGCACCGTTGCGTCGAGCCACTGCATCTATTCTAATACACACAACGTGTTGTGCAACACTGTGGTTTTGAAACGTATTGGACAACGGGCTACGCCTGTGGCGTCACCACGAGCAATTCGTCATTTACCGCAAAGCTACGTATCGTGATCTCAAAGCCAAAGCTCGCACGTATGTTTGCTGGAAGCACATCGAACAGCCAAAGTCCAACGCAGGAAAAAGTGTAGGTAGCTGGATTTTCTACATTTGATCCGTAATACACAGTGCAGTTTCCTTAGATTTCCAAATATATTTTCATTTCCGTCCCACAAAACCCTATGCATGTATCGTCAAAGGTGGAACAAGAAACAGCTGCTTTCCGCTACTAAAAAATAGGGAACCACAGTGACGAGTCGCATACCATTCCGCAGTTGACCAAGTTACCCAAGCGATGGCTTCCGGCTGGCGCCACAAAGGCACCAAAGCCGTCCTGGATCCGTGGGGGTCTCCATCGCCTCCTCCACTACTCGACGAGACGGCTCCTAAGATCAGCAAGCGCTCCCGCTTCTCACGTCGCAGCACACACGCCAAAAGCCAAGCGCAACACCAAGCTCAGAACATCGAGCTCGAAGTTGAAGAATTTGCCGAACAACAGGACCGTGACAAACGTCGCAGCCTCTTAGCCTCCATGTTCAGAACCCGAGCACTGTCGCGCTCATCGCGCTCCATATCGGACGCCACGGAGGCGCCACAGGCGCTCGTCCAGCGAGATAAAGGTTTCCGACTGGTGCGTCACGGCTCCGATCCACTCCTAAACGACTCGTTTTACGCCACTCAAGTGCAGGTTGGCAATTTCGTCAAGATGGGCTGGCTCACCAAACAAGGACACATGTGGAAGAGCTGGAAGACGCGCTTCTTCGTGCTTTTCTCGGATGGCACTTTTGCCTACTACAAGAACAAGGGCAGGAAGAAGATCAAAGGTTGCATGCAACTAAACGACGGCGTGGTTTCCGTGCAGCACGTGGACATCCGAGTAGCTGGTAAAGCGTATGTGTTCCAGATCGAGAAAGGTTTCTACAAATTATTGTGCTATTGCTGCAGCCAGTTTGAAGCCGAGTTGTGGGTCGCTGCATTGCGGTCAGTGAGGAGGGTATCTCCACCCTGTTATGAAATGGACCTGACTGCGACCGAAGAGAAAGCAGGATCCAATGCAGTTACCAGACTCTTGAACAAGATCTTCATCACGGACAAAGAGGTGGCTAAAAACTGGGTCCAGTTCAAGGAAAATGATCACGACCATTCGTACGCTGCAATCCACAATTTCATCGTGGAATTGGACGACTCTATCATCGATCGTCACCATTTGGAGCTCTATCAAGATCCAGAGATTGAATTATTGCCAGGTAATGAGCTCGTGCGACTGATTCGGCGACATGTCGAGGACCGTGTGTTTATTCCGTTGTATGCGGAGGCATACGCGAGCTTAGAGACGGATAAAGTCAAGTCGAGACGGAGCAACTTGGAGCAGAACGTTAAGGTGTTGAAACAGAAAGCACAGGCGGATTTCGGCATCTCGAAAGACTTGTCGGTTTGCAATTGGAAGCAAGCTATCAGTGTGATCAATATGCTCGACTCTGTGTCGCTGCCGACGCACAAATTCGAGGTCATTTTGTCCGCCGGGAAGACCGTCACAGAGGAGATTGCTCAGTATAATGGCGAGCTCTTCGAGGTCACAGACGAGACGTTGACGGCGGTGTTCCGGTACGTGGTAACGATGTCCTCGCTCAGCGACTTAGCGATTCTTCGAGCACTACTGAAGTATGGATATCAGCACCACCCAGCATGTCAGAATAAAGCGAATGTCGTGACTGCTTTTCTCGATGCGATCAAATGGGTTGAGAACTTTGAGTCTGGAGATGAAAGCTACCGATTCGACACGATGGCGCTGGCAGGATCTCGTGTCTCCGTATCCATTTCGACCAACGATATTGGGATTCAGCTCACGACAGACGGAAATGGAAGAGGAGCTATTGTTTATAGTGTTCGGAAGCAGTCTCAAGCAGCTTTGAGCGCTGCCATCGTGCCTGGATTGTCGCTGATCGCGATTAACCGTGAGCCTGTGATTGGAATGCCTTTCGAGAAAATTATCCAACGCGTTCGGACTGCAGCATTGCCGAAGCAACTTACGTTCATGACGGAGTTTTACTATTATCAGCTGTTGTCACTGGACTTGGAGATGTCCCGCTATTTGACGTGCATTGCAGCTCGTCGTGGAGACTTGGACTCGGCTGGATGGCTGCGATCCTCGACTGTGGAATTGAACACTCTTTGCTCGTGGGAAAAGACTCGAGGCAAGCAGGTTTTCGGATTCATTCCAGCATCCGGCAAGGGCTCGCCGCTTCATGCTGCTGTGCACAATGGACAACTCGGAATGGTTAATTATCTTATCTCGAAGGGGGCAGATGCCAATCTGTGCAACCATAAAGGAAGACGACCACTACACGTTGTGAAGCAGTCGATCGACATGGCTCAGATCATCCAAAGTCTGATTGATGCAGGAGCGGATATCGATGCAGCAGAGAAACATGGACTCACTCCGTTGATGTTCATGTGCTCCAGAGTGTCTCTTGAAGGCTCAGCGACGTTGCTGGCCCTGGGAGCTGATGCCCATCGTGTTGCTTGGTCAAATGGCTTCTCAGCTTTGGAATTTGCAGTAAAGAGCGGGCGTACAGAGCTTGTCGAGCTTTGTCTTTCGAAGGGCGCAAATCCGAACGCGCCTACGTTGGACGGAAGCACCAGTCTGCACTTAGCTGCCGCTCTGGCTCACACCGATATCATTCTCCGGTTGCTGCAGGGTGGTGCGAACCCCAACATCCAGAACAGGTGTGGGCAGACTCCAGCGACTATTCTGCTTGCGTCAGCTCCCAACGGAAGTGGTGATGCCCGAATCTTGTGCCTGGAGATCTTGACGTGCGCTGGGTGTCATCTCGATCAACGAGATCTCTTTGGCCGCCAAGCTTCTCACTTAGCGAACATCTCGCGAGATTTTCGCGTGGTCGAATTGCTGCGAAAGTTGGGATCGCTTAATCGGGGAGGCAATGGCGTTGATGTCGACATCTTTGGCTGCTCTTCTGCTGACTACACTGACCATATCGAGGTAAACAAAACGGCGGGATTTCTGCGTTCGCTAATGCCTAACGACTCGTGGAAGATTGGAGACAAGGATGACCACGCTTCACGGTCTGTACGCTCGAGTTCTATTGACGGAATGATTCGCGACCTGGTTACTGGGATGGACGTCGATTTGGCCGATGTGGTCGCGTTTGTGCTGTTCCTCGACAGCTTTTCAAGCCTAAACGAAGTGGTGGATCGGGTATACGAACATGTCCGCAATGGAGTCAAGAGTAAGTGCGCGCTTTTGATTTACTAATGGACACAACGCTGACCTTGTTGTTATCGTGTTTTTCTAGGTCACGGACTCATTCGTCTTTTCATAATGATATTGCTGTTCAGGCAGTCAGAATCGAAGGAGAGTGACGATCTGCGTGATCGTTTCTATAGCCTCGTTGGCCACGCTGTTGACGTTTCGAAAGAGAAGTTGGTGCCTTTGGTTGAAGAATTCACAGCTCTTTACAAGGGATATTTTTCCCTGCGTGGGGCTGGAAAATACGCACTGAACTACGAAATGATCCCTGGAATGATGACCACATTATACGGCTTAGAATCTGGAATCGAACTTGTTTCCAACGAGCCCTTCTCGAGGCATTTGCACCGGTAAGTCGAAGATTTGAGGCTTGTATGGCTTGAGCGTTACTGATTTTGGTTTGCTTTTCGGCAGATATATCGACGCAGAGCAGTGGGCAGAACAATGCACACTTCTGACGCACGCAGTCTTCTGCAAGATTCCAGGTGAGCTTCCATTTGGACACAGCTGTTGTGAAGATGGAGCTGATCTTTTGTTGTGTATGATCATCTGTACTGTAGTCCACGATTTGATCTCGCCAGGCTCGAAAAGGCAGCACTCAGTTGAGTTCACCAGCATCAAACGATGGTTCCAACACGTACGTGATGCTAAATATTTACATAGTCTGGGGGTTATTACTGAAGTGCTTGTACCTGTCGTATTTTTGTAGATCTCTGCGTACGTCATCAACGCTGTTCTTGTTCAAGATACCCCTGAAGAACGGGCAGAAGTGATTTCGTTTTACCTCAAGGTGCGATGACTTTACCGTACTACTTCGAAGTATATTAAAGAGGTACTCGGTGTGCTAAACTGTACGTATACTATGATCAGGCCGCGGAATACTGCATTTCCTTACACAACCATGACACGCTGGCTTCGATTTTATACGCTCTGCAATCTACTGCGGTTCAGCGTCTTCGAAAGACGATCGACTGTGTACGATTCCATAAAAGCATGTACCTCTGTGATGGCTGGTTGTATAACTCGTGTTTTACTTGCGTATTGTAGCTGAGTGTGGCTGCGAAGAAAAAGATGAACGAGATGCAACTACTCTCAGACAAAGGATGTCGAGAGATGAACCGCCTGATGCGTCAGACTACAAACCCAAGCATGCCTTACATTGGCCTGTATCTTCAAGTGAGTGTATTCTCATCGTTACGTTATGGTAAACACTACATGTACTAATCTCGTATATATCTTCAAGGGCTTCGTCGGATTGAACGAGTTGCCTACGTTTGACAAGAACGGTCTGGTAAATGCAAGCCGGCTTCGACGAATGGGCGAGCTGTCGATGGAAATCTTGCATCGACAGTCTGTCGCCTACACTCTCCAGAACGACGAGGATGTCGACGTAAGTTGCGATGCGATCTCGGGTCTTGGTGTCACTTTCTAATTATCTCTTTTGTTGCTGTAGAAACTGCTGCACGTCTCGTTGCCGTATTCCTCCGAGGAGAGTCGGTATACTCGTTCGTTGGAGCTGGAACCTCGCGAGGCGGACGCGATGCCGCTGAGCGACCGTGGCTCATGTGCATTAATCGATGATGACCTCGACCTGGAAAGCGAAGTTCGTGAGTCAATCGGCGGTGACGGGACTTTCGGTTTCCGTCAGTGGATTCGGAAGCAGCAAGTAGTGCACCGGAATCGCTCTCGGTCGTCTCTAATTGCTTTGTATGAGTGGGTGTAGCTGCCATTTGTTTTATCTATTGGTTGTGGAGTCTCGCCCAACATAGTATTTAGGCTATCTCCACTCAAGTTGCCATTTGAGCTTCTATTGCTAAATAGAGAAAATATTACAATCTGCTATCTCCAGTCGGGGTTGCTATTGCTATAATGTAGAATAGCAACTCGACTTTTGTTGCTATTCGAGGCCCGAATAGCAACTGTGGTGCAAAATAGAAACTGGCACAACAGAAAGATCGCGCAGCATCATGGGGAGAGGCAAGAGGTGGTGCGATCAGGAGGACGAGGCTCTGGCTCGTGCGTACAAGGCTGCCGCTGAAAACTCCATCCAGGGGACTGATCAAAAGGCTACTGCTTTCTGGGAGAATGTGTGCCAGCGTACAGCAACAGCTTTCGGCGGCGACTCTCGGCCATCAAAAATCGCTGGAGCTTAATTTCTCATGACACGGCCAAGTTCGCTGGTTGTGTTTCTCGCGCGAAAGCTCGCAATGAATCGGGGAAGAATGACGACGATGTTGTCAATGATGCTGTCGCATTGTTCCTGGAAACTCATGGAAGTAGGCTCGAGTATTTGTCGTGCTGGATGATCTACACAGATGAGCACACAGGCAGCGGCAAGAAAGCCGTCGTCGTTATCAAGAAGTAGGTAAACTTCTTCGTCGCTGCTCTCCATTGTGCTTTCTGTCGGTGAACAAGAGTGGAGTCGGCGAGGAGTCGCTATTGCTAAACGTTCAGTCGATAGCAACAGCCAATCACGAATGACCGATAGCAATCGGGATAGCAACCAGGAGTGGAGATAGCCTTAGTTCTCAGCAATGTACTTTTCAAAGTCCTCCATCGATCTCATGGCGTCAAGATCAAGTGCTGGTTCTTGCGACTTGGGTATCGGCAGTCTATCGCCGACTTGGAAATGAGACCTCGGCTTCGTTATCGGCGAAGGCTGCTCGTTCGTGGTCAGATCCTCCATCTGCTGCATGATTTGATCTCCTTTTTCTCCAAGCATGTAGTCATCCCTACAGGTAGCGATTTGAGTGATCTACCCTATGAGTAAACATTGGTTTCGTCGGCAACTTACATCAGTCGACTTAGCTGGATATCTTCGCTCGCGGAGGGTATTTTATCATCTGACGTCGGTTTAGCGTGCTGTATCAGATGGTTGCTCAATGGTGCGTAACCTGTTTGATTCAACATAGATCGATAACAGGCTTCTTACCTTCTTCTTCGCCGACTCGGCAAAAAGAATTTGATGCTTTCGAGGATCTTTCAGCTCGCTCTGCTTGTTGCTGGTTTGCTTCCAGTTGTAGATTTCTGTCACGATGTCTCTGCAGTACATGAATGCAATTGTCAGAGGAGTTGAACACTTAAGTATTAAGATTGGAGATATGGATGAACAGCAGCCTACTCATCTTGCTCTCCATCAGAGAAGAATCCTTTTGGCTGTTGATTGTCAATGCGCTTGGACTCGGTCTTCAACCCGTTAGGTGGGGCGACGTACTGTAGCCGTCTGTGTGCGCTGCGTCAAAGAATGAAAACGCTGGGGGGCATTGTACGTTGACGTTACTTCAAATTTCTGCTCGCTTCACCATGTGAGCTTTGGTTTTTTTTTACTGAAATGCGACTTGGCCTCGTCCGCCATGTTGCCGAATCCAAAAATGAAAGAAGATACCAAAGCAGAGTGGTACATAGTACCGATATTGAGTCGGCATGTAGCAACGTTGAGTCTGGGATTAATAGTGGTTCTCACGGTTGGCAGGTAGGTTTGAACAGCCAATCACATCAAACCTTCCTGTCCTGTTTTCTTCCAACTAAAACCTACTCGGAAAACTCGGTAGGTTTGGCCAAGAAGTGCAAACGACTAGGAGAAAGTTTGATTTGATTGGTTGTGGCACAACAATATCGCGACCACCAACTTTAGTATTTCATTCTGCCAAAATGGTTAAGGAGTGCTGAGGAAAAATATGCTCTTCTCGATTACCTGTCTACACATTTAGATGAGTACACGAAAGGAGTCAAATCGAAGCTCTACTTTGCAGTTTGCACCTTTACATATTGACACATTGTACTAGCTACCTCTGGAAGCTGATGATCTGATTCAAAAGGTCTCGTTAAATGCTATTAGTCAAGATGAAACTATGCTTAAGTCTGTACCAGTGTAGTTTTCTTAAAACAACCATCTCAAGTCTGCTACTAGGCAGCCTGCTTGAATTGGTCCAGCTCTAATCTACCCTACTTCGTCTTTTAACGCCTACAAGAAACTTCTCCTTATCTCTTCTTCTTCTCTACCTGCCTACCGTTCCATTTGTTATGAGCCCAAGCCAAGCCTTAAGCGACGACTTCCCACGCTTCATCGGCGCCGAGAGCTTCGACGGCTGGAATATCCGTGTGTGCGCAGCACTAGATAGCAAGCACCTACTCGGCTACGTGAAGCAGCCTGACTACGATGGCGTGCCTGAAGACGAGAGTGAAGACAGCGGCAGCGATATGTCTGACGCCAACGATGAACCGCATGCCAGCGCTACAAAGAAGGTCGAAATCGACCCCGACGCTGTGGACTACGACGAGAGCGACGACAAACTCAAACCGCCCTCGGACTCGGACGAAGACTCTGGAGCCAGCTCCGATACGCCAATCAAGAGGAAGGACCTCCCGGCTGCTCGACCATTTAACCAGGGCGAGGCTCGCCGTGCACGCAAACGTGCCAAGAAAGAGAAGCGCCAGCCTCTTAGCCAGCGCGAACGCCGTCGACAAGAAGCCAAGACCAAAGCTTCTTGATGAAAACGATGGACAACATGCACGTGCGGCTGGTCAAGAATCTCACGACATCCTACGAGATATTCAACTACATCTGCCAGAAGTACGAGGGAGCAGCCTTTCATGGTGATCCGTACTTCATTCAACACTACTTGATGGAGATCAAGTATGAGGAAGGCTCCGACTTAACCGAGTTCTTTCTCAAGCTTGAGAGCGCGATGAAAGCCGCGTCAAAAGTCACCGAATCGGTGATGACCGAGGGACAGAAGTCTATCTACATGTTCCAATCAATGCCCAAGTCGTGGAAGGACGATCTCCGCATCTGGAAGGGCCAGCAGAAGTATATCCCGTATGAAGATTTTAAGCAGAGCATTGAAGGCAAGGTTGGCGATCTTCAAGCTCAAGAGCGCTACACCTTGGCCAAGGGCACACCAGAAACCTCTGCAACCAAGGGTAAGAGTGTTAAAAGTCGACCGCCTGGTCGACCGCGCCACGCGCTTCTGAGAGTAAGTACGCAAAAGAGAGAGTGAGATTGTATCCGCAATTACCAGCCACTAACTTATCTGACCATCACTCCTACAGTTTGCAGCTGACGGCGCACACCAGATCCTGGTCCGGATCCTCCTTCTTCAACACTCCTCCTCGCCGACGCTGGCAAACTGCAGCTCCCGTCTACGGTTATCGTCACCCCGCGCCAGCGCCCTCGTCTTTCAGTGCAACCCGACTTCGGCTCTGAGCTCCATTAGTCTTGGTGCCTCCACAGCCTTCGTCATCAAGTCCGCGGGCATGCGCCCAGTCTCGCGATACTCCGGCTTCAGCACACCTTTGTTCGTGTAGCTACCTACGAACTTAATCCGCACATCTATGTGCTTCGCCTTAGCCGACGAGCCTTCTCCATCAAGCTGCTTGAGTGCTGCCTGATTGTCGCACCTCAACGTCATCGGCGTCACGTGCCCAACCTTCAATTCGCCCAGCAACTCTCGGATCCCCAGCAGCTCCGTAGCCATCACCGACGCTGCCGTGAACTCGGCCTCCATCGTAGACAAGGACACGCCCCCTTGCTTCCTGCAAGTCCAGCTGATCGGCATTCCGTCCATCATTACCAGGCCACCAGTGACCGACTTGCGATCTTCCTTGTCGGCCGCGTAGTCCGCATCCGTGTACGCTACCACCTCGAGCAACTCGTCCGGCTCTTTATCTCCATTCATGCGGAGGCGCAGCTCCTTCGTGCCGGCCAAATACCGCATGATTCTTTTCGCCAACTTCCAGTCGGCAACCGTCGGTCTGTGCGTGCGCCTCGACACCTTGTGCACCGCAAAGGCCACGTCCGGCCGCGTACAACGCGCAATCCACATCAGGCTGCCGACCAAGGACTGAAACTTCTTCACCGTCACCACCTCATCTCCTCCTGAGACAGGTAAGGCCGCGCCCTCAGACGCTTGGACTTCGTTCCATTCCACTCCAATCGGTGTACGCACGCCGTGCACCTTCTCCATGCTGTGCGCTTTCAACATGTCGATGATCGTCACCTCTTGGTCCAAGTCATAGCCCTCCGACTCCGTGTAGCTCACCCTCATGCCCAAGAACTTACTTGCTATCCCTAGATCCTTCACGGACAGCACAGCCAGCTCCTGAAAGAACGAGTTCACTTCCTTCTGCTCCGTGCCTGTAACCAACAGGTCGTCCACGTAGACGCCCACGACCAGCAAAGCCGTTCCTCGTCTCCTAAAGTATAGACACATGTCGGTAAGGCTCTGTTCGAAACCGATCTCTACCATCTTCTTGTGCAACAACTTGCTCCACAGTCGTCCAGCTTGCTTGAGCCCATAGAGAGCCTTCCTTAGCTCGAGTACCAGCTCACCGTCATCTGTGACGCCAAGCTGTTTCTTCAGCTCCTCCGGGATGGTCATCCCTTGGAACAAGTGGATGTAGATGTCCAGCTCGGCCTCCTTGCCAGCCTTCACATAGGCGTTGGGCACGTCCCCGTGCTTGGCCGGGACCCGCCACTTTCTGGCCAGCGCGAATATCAGTTTGACACTGGTCATGTCAATGACAGCCGCGAAGGTGATGCTATAGTTAACGCCGAATTCCTGTTCGTTCCCACAGGCTACGAGTCGCGCCTTCAGGCGCTCGATGGCCCCTTCGCCATCTTTTTTGGTTTTAAATACCCATTTTGTGTGAAGCACGCGCACCCCACGGGGCAACCGCACCAGCTTCCACACCCCATTCGCTTCCAGAGCCCTCAGCTCTTCGTCCATTGCCTTCACCCACTGATCCCTGCGATGACTACGCATAGCCTCGCGATAGCTCCTTGGATCTACCTCCAGCACGTTGTTCACGACATCCTTGTCGGCCTCCTCCTGCTGTGATGATCCCCCCGTCTTCTCAGCCTCTCGCTTGCCTACCGACCGCGTTACATGACGCTCCCGGTTCCAGGCCTTCTTCATTATTCTCTTGCTGGACTTGTGAGCGTTACCAGTCGGGACTTCGCCTGTCGTCTTAGCACCGCTCGCGACCGCAGCCGCGCTTCCCGTACTTGTTCCAGCCCTCAGGCCTACAGCCGTTTCCTCGGTCTCTGCCGTATCGTCGTGAAGGTACAGCCTCTGCAAGTTCTCGTTCTGTTTCTTGTCCAGCGTCTCAATGTTCCTAACATGTTGTGTGGTGATGACCACCTTGTCCTTCGGCAGGTACACGCGGTACCCCTTGGTCTCTTCACCGATCCCCACGATCATTCCCTGCTGCGCACGCTGCGCGAAGCTCTTCTTCCTCGGGTCCCTGTGGACCGTGCAGGGCGACCCGAACACGACGATCTCCCCCAACTGGGGCGTCTGCTTCGTCAGCATCTTGATCGGGGACGCGCGACCGGGATCTGAGTTGGTCGGCGCTCGGTTCAGTATGTACGCGGCGTACTGCACCGCGTCACCCCAGAAATTGTGCGGCAGGCCACACGCAAATATCATACAGCGCGCCATGTTCATGATCGTCGTATGCATCCGTTCCGCCTTCCCGTTTAGACCTGATTACGTGCCTCGCTGCGCTGGCGGGCCACTCCCGTGTTCTTGCAGAACATGTCGACGTTCTGGTACTCGCCGCCCGAGTCTGTGCGCAAGACGTGGATTCGGCAGTCAAACCGCTTCTCAAAAAACGTCAGGAAGTGCTCAAACTGCTTGGCTGCCGCATCCTTTGTCTTCGCCAAGAAGATTCGGCAGTAGTTTGTATTGTGGTCGACGAAGTTCACGAGGTATCTATTCTGCAGCCTGTCGCGCGGAGTCATGGGCCCCTTCAGATCCGAGCAGATGACTCCGCCGACTCTGTCGACTGGCGAGTGCTCACCGATGTCCTTTGAGGACTGCCGGTTCTTCGTTTGCTTGCCTTGAGCGCAGGTCAGACAGTTGACTCGCTTGTTATCCGACAACGCGATGCCTGTGCTCGGGTCCTCTGCCAGTCTCTCCACCGCATCGTAGTTCAGGTGGCCTAACCGCCTATGGAACTTCACCAGAGTTCCCTCCTGCACATCTCCACCGGAATCCGTCGTCTCGGCGCCTTTCTGGTCCAGTGCGGCCATGATCACCTCCGAGGGGAGTTCCCGTCTTCGCTCCACTGTACCTGCCACTACCAGCACGTTTCGCCATAACATAACGTCGAATACCACACGACCACTGCTCCGATCGGCCACATCACGTCGTCCGTTCTTGCGCCCCAGCGTGCAGCCCTTCAGGTCAAGTTGGCCATACGATATTAGGTTGTGCACCACTCCCGCAGCGTAGTACATCTCAGTGAGCTTCACCGTTTGTTTAACGCCACACGCAGTGACGCGCAGTGTGACATATCCCTTCTTTGTGATGATTAGCGGGTCCCCGTTCGGCTGCAAACACTCGGCCTCGCAGTCCTCCACTTCGTCCAACCACGTCGCGTCGTTAACTAGGTGTCTACTGGATCCGCTGTCCAGGATCCA